TTATTATAATATATTTTATATATTTATTAACTATAACTATTATAATATTATATATCTTTTTAGTTCTTAAGTCCTATAATAATAATAGCTTTATTATAAAATCTATTATAATATACTACTATAGAAACTTTAGTAAATATATTTTCTATAAATAACTATATTTCTTATAGTTTTTAGCTTAATTTTTTTATATAAAAAGCATTTTTTAATATATTTATTAATTACTATTTTTATATTTAATAAAAACTAATTTTATCTAATAAGTTTATATATTCTAACTATTTTTAGATATCTATACTTTAAGTTATTATAATATTTTTATATTAGTTTTTATAAAAGTTCTTTTAGTATATAATATTATTACTAATATTTTAATAGTTTTTTCTATTTTAAATTTATTTATTTCTAGGCTATTTTATTATTTTAATATACTTTTTATACTTAATTAATAAAATTATTTTTTATTAATATATTAATTTATATTAAATATAATATTCTATTATTACTTTATCTAAATATTGCTACTAAATATTTATATTTTTATTAGTATAGATCTAGCTATTTGCTAAGTTTATTAATAATAATATTATCTTTTTCTAGTATATAGTTAATTTAGAATTTATATTATACTAATAGTTCTATTTATTTAGTTTATTATTAGTTTAGTTGTTTTATTATTATAAAGTATACTAAGTTTTTATAGTCTATAAATACTTTAATATCTTTTGCTTCTTCTATATATATTTTTTATTATTAGAATATATTAATTATTATTATTAGTTTTTTATTATAAATATTATAGTTTTACTTTATATCTATTATTTTATATAAATAGTATATTATAAAGTGCTATTTATTATCTGTTTTCTATTGTAAATATGCCCTTATTGCTATGTTTAATACATTAATTTAAATTTAAATTACTTTTTTTAATTAAAAAGTTTTTAATACTAGAGTCTTTATATATTCTTCTTTTAGTTAGTTAAATACTTATTGCTATTCTTTAGTTTAGTTATATTCTATTTCCTTTTTTATTAGTTTTATTAAGGGTAATATAATTTATAAAAACCTTTATATAAATTTTCTATTAAAGTTAATTACTCTAAGGAATAATTATAATTCTTTAACTATTATTAGTTCTAGCTAATTTAATATTATTTATATTTTTTCTAATTTTATTACTAATCTTTTAATACTTATAATATATTTTAAAAAAAGTACTTCCTTCTTATAAAATTTATATTTTTTTAGTTTAAGCTTAAGGTTTATTTCTATTAAATATATAAATATTTTCTTAATATCTTTTATATATTGTTATATTGTCTTTAAGAATATTAGTATATTATCTAAGTATATAATAATATATTAGTCTAGTAGGTTCTTTAAAACATTGTTAACTAGTTCCTAGTATAATACTAGTATATTAGTTAATTTAAAGGGTATAACTATATATTTATATAATTCATATTTTATTTTAAAAGCTGTTTTCTATTTATAGCTTTTAGCTATTTATATTAGATTATATACTTTATATATATTGAGTTTTAAAAACTATTCTACTTTTTATAGTTAATTTCTAAGTTTATTTATATTTAGTAATAAATACTAATTTTTTATTATAATATTGTTAAGTTTCTTATAGTTTATATATAATTATAGTTTACTATTCTTTTTTAGAATAAAAAGAATTAAATATTTAGTTAAAAAAGATAATAGCTTTATAAATCTTTTTATAAAGTTTTTTTTTAAATATTTATCTAGAGCTTTAAGTTCTATTTCTAATAGTTAATATATAAATCTAAATATTAGTTACTTACTATTAATTAACTTAATCTAATAATCTTAAAGTTAATATAATAGCAACACTTCTTCTCTTTATTTTTCTTTAAAAAAGTATATTTATTTATTATATTTTAGTAATATAAAAGCTTTATTAGTATTTTTTCTTTTAGTTTTATAATTAGTTAATTTTTTTTTATATCTACTAAAATTAACATATTATTTAGCCGCTTATTTTTTAAAATCTAGGATATATAAATACTTATAATATTCTATTAAATTTTTTTATTTAAAGTTATAGTTATAGATTACTTAAGTTTCTAGGCTTTAATAATAAACTTATCTTTAAACTTTAGTTTTTTAGATAGCTAGTTAATAACTAGGTTCTACTTTTTTAACTAAGGTATTCCTAATATAATATTATAAATAGCTATTTTAAGTATATTAAATATTATACTCTTATAGTACTATTAAATAGCTATTATTATTTATATAGTTTCTTTTATAATTAAGTTAGTTCCTATTATATCTCTTACAGCTATTATAATTATATATAGTTTATTTATTATTTATATTTTAATCTATACTTTTTATACCTTTTATTTTAAAATATAATTTCTTTTTACTCTTATATTTATAAATATAGTTATTAGTATATTGTTAAGCTATATATTTATTATAATATGTAGGTTATATCCTTTAGTATCTTACGCCTCGCTAAGATTATTAATTATTGCTTTAAGTAGTATTCTTTATTATAATTTCTTATTTTAATATATTTTATATAATACGCTTTTACAATATTATTATATAGGGTTCTATTACTATATTAAAAGCTAGTTTTCTTTTTATAGGATATATAATAAGTATATTCTATTTTTAAGTTTTTTATTAGAAATTAGTAGTATAAACTATATTATTTGTCTCTATGTCCTAGAAAGAACTTACTTTTATATTTATTAATTAAATAAGATATATATTAGTTAATTATATAATTAGTCTAAGTAGTTCTTTTATAAAGTTTCTAATAGATAATTTATTATATTGTTATTTTAAGGACTTTATTTTCTAGTATATATATAATATTATTTATTTATTATCTAAGCTAAAAATCAATATATAGGTATAGTACTTTTCTAAGGAGTTGTTTATCGCTATCCTTTAGTTCTATATTACTATACTATTTTAATTTATTAAAAAAATTCTATAGCTTATTTCTAAAATAATTCTATTTATAATTATATTATTTATATATTTATTATTTTTATTTAAGTTATTTTATTATTTTATTAAAATTTATATTAAATAGTTTATATTTTTCTTTTTTCTTTTATAGAATATTGTTTATTACGTTAATTTGTTTCTACTTTTTATATTTAATTAGTATTTGTTCTTAGGTATTATTATCTATTATTATAAAAAATAATATATTTAAATTTATATTATTTACTAAGCTTTTAGCTTTTTTATTATTAATTAATAATAAGTATAGTAATAGAAGTTTTTATAAAATATTTAATTATTTTTATATTTAGTTCTTTAATTAATAGTTATATATAATATATTCTATTTTATTATATTTATAATATTTCCTTTAGTTAAGCTTCCTATAATTGCTTTTACTATTATATTATAGTATTAATATATTTAGCTTTATAAGGTTACTTCGCAGATTAGTACTTCTTAGCTATCTTACCCTATAGTTATAGCGTCCTTAGTATCTTATTATATTGTTATTATATCCTATAATAACTTATTTTATATACTATCTTTATTGTTTATTTTACTTTATATATTATTAATATAGCTTATTATTAATTTTAATTGCTACTTTTATAAAATTATTAATATTTTCAATTTTTCTACTATAGTATATAAGTTTATTTTAAATATTGTCTTTTAATCCTTACTTAAATATAAATATTTAAGTTTTATTATTCTATTCTATTATTACTATATAATACTAGAAGATAGTTATATAGTTAGCTACTTTTTTAGTTTACTATAGTTGTTATATTACTAATTTAGTATACTATTCTTTATTAGTAGGTCTAAATATTTATTAAACTTATTTTTTAAATTTAGAATAGTTTTTAATCTATTTATAGGTTTTTATACTAGTAGTTTTATTTATATATTTTCTAAAGTCTAGATTAATCTATAATAGTACTTTATCTTTTATATATATTACTATAAAAGCTACTTTAATTTTACTTTTAATATTAAATATTAATTTAAAATAAAAATCTAACTAGAATAACTAGTTATTAAGCTTATTCTTTTCCCTATAAAAAAGGTTAAATTTTAAAGGTTTAGTTCTATCTTTTTTAGTAGTAGTTAGTTAATATATTATATACTTTTATTAAAAGTACTACTTATTTATAATAAATTTAATTATATTTATTCTAAAAATATTTAATATATTATAACCTTAGTATTTAAATTAATAAATAATATTAGCTAATTTAACTATAAATTAGTAGGTTAGTTCTCTTAGAATATAAATAGTAGTTAAAAAGTAAATAAAAGTAGAATAGCGAAATAGAATTAAGTTATAACTATTTTAAATCTTATAGTAAGGAATAAAACTTATATTAAATATAAGGAAATCTATTTAAAAAAAGGAATAAAAGGTTCTATATATATAATTTTACTTAATTTACTTAATAGTATTTAACTTTTAATTATTTTAAGCCTACTTAATCTAGAGGTTGCTTAGTACTCTTAGTACTTAAGTATACTTAAGTATTTTAACTATCCTTTCCTCTTTTTAATTATTCTTTTTAGTGACCTAGTATAGCTATAGTCTCTATACTATAGCGGTTACCTAGTTATACCTATTGCGCAAAGTTGTAATAAGGCGTTAGTTAGTGCCCCTTACCTAGACAAACTAGGTATTGCTACTATTAATATAGTGCAGCAAAGTATAGCCCAAAATAGACTAGTTATAGACGTATTATCTAGAATCGTAATCTTATTGTTGTCTAAAACTACTAAGATCTAAGATCGATCTAAGATGCGGCTGAGAGCGAGAGCGGAATTAGTTCCGGACGACCAAAACTGCTCTCCCTATTAGCTTCATTTAAAAGTGCTGAGTATCTGAGAAGCCTATGCGTATATCTGATCATGAGTCATCTGTGTTTAATTCCACTCTGCATCACGAACTTTCTATCATAGCGCCGACAAAGCTTGGTATTAAGATGGACAAATGGGGGACGAAGATGGCACCGTTCCGGTCAAAGAAACTCGATCTGAGTTGCTATGTTAACATCAGAAACATTCGCGATCACACCAAACGGTATGGCCACCCTGATAGCACCCCATACTGTGGTCTGGGTCTCACAAAGATATACAGGAAAGTGTACGAGAAATTTGAGTCGGAGAGGTATGCTTGAGATCGCAATATGTGCCATATGGTGTCACAGCCTGCTAAGATGTTTGCGCTTCGATAGACAAGCCCTCCGTTACATCATCCGCAACACAACCCTACCCCAACGAGCGCGTGCGTCTGCTCAACTGCAGCTTTCGCAGATGCATTGCTATACGAGATTCACACAGATTCGGAACAGATGTATAGACGCTGGGAAAGGTCGCGGTGTCCTAGGTGATTTCAGGATGGCAAGAGTGTGTTTTCTTCAGACTTCACTTTCGAGAAGCAAACCGTAGAAAGTCAGGGCTGACTTATTTCGCAGTATCCATTCAGAATGCATGCATTGGCAGGAAATATACCGGGCGTCAAAAAAGCGAGCTGGTGAAGACGCATAGTAGACGTCACGTGTCGATATTGAAACCAAGAGTACTGTACATATGTATTGCATGGTGGAAAGCCTGGCGTATTTGGACATGATGGAGCTTCATTGCCCTTAAGAGCACGCTGCATTGCGTCTTCAATGATGAAGTTGCAGAAGTGCGGAATGACAACACATCAAGCATTTGCCTTGTCAAGCATTCTTTCTTTAACAACTCTCAATTCACTTCACGAAACACAATGACACCAGATCAATAAATGATAATGTGTCTTTAGTGTCGACATTACACTTAAGACGTTACTCGCAACTGATTGATGTACACCATCCCTCCTTCCTAACAACAAACAGTTGACAGGTTAGTCCTCAAATTTGACAGTGTCTACAACCCTCGACCTCTCCATCATCAAAATGTTCCGCCTCAAGAGCAGCAGTCTCCCTCCTGACCCTGAGTTCCCTGCCGACCTCGAAAAGCTTGGGTGAGTTCCACCGTCTGCCTTGATGAGCTCTACCATACACTGACATTTGACCAGCTATCAAATCAACGAAAAAGACCAAATCCGTTCCATCAAGAAGCCGGATCAAGAATTCCACTACTTCATCTCCAAAAATGAACGCGTACTGGAGAAACAGCGTGAGGCCATGGATAGTGCGTCCTCCTCTCCACCATCTCACCCTTCGTTAACACCTCACAGTCTGTATTCGCAACAACCTCCTCCCCCGCTTCCACGCCTCCGGCCTGCACACCACCCGCCTCCCCCTCACCACCGGCCCATTAGACCCTCACATCCCGATCCTCACAACCCCCAACCTATCAAACGCAAAACGCGTGATCCTCTACATCGGTGAGAACAACCAAGACCTCGGCATCCTCGCCTACCGCATCATCGGGCGTGAAGGGCTCGCAAAGGGCTCAGTCTTGGATTTCGCTGCGGCTGCTAAGGACACGGGCAATCGGATCGGTGGTCGTGGCGATGGTGATATATGGGATAACAACGACACCGCCCTCGTGTTCGCCAATCTAGGTCAACTGATCTGGCATCGTCGTGGACAGAAAGCGCTCAGTATCCGCAGCTGGGATGCTTTGCCCCGCAAAACAGGCGTCGGTGCACCGTTGAGGTTAGATGCGAAAGAGAATCGGGTCGTGGGGCATGAGAATCAGACAGCGCATGTGGCGTCTGTCTTTGAGTTTCTGAAGGGTGCGATGGCCGAGGGAGCGAAGGTGGATGTGGTTGGGCTCGCGGAGGGGGCGGAGGAGGTATTGAGGTATCTAGATAAGGCGTGGGAGGGATGGAAGGGAAAGCTTGGGGCCATGGTTACGGGAATGGGGTATAACTTTCCTCTGGATTTGGAGGTCGGGGACCAGGGTTTCAAAGAGTGGATCGGAATGGTAAGCAGCTCTTTCACTCACGCACTGGTTCTTTGAGGGATGAGGCGCTGACGGTGCGAAAGCGAGCGCGTACCTATATAATCCATCCAGACCCTGTTGGCATCCCCCTCTCCGGCCGCTCACTTACAGGCTGTAACGTGTTCAGCTCTGGCGAATCTCAATATACCGAGTGCATCATACCGAAAGCACATGCCGCGATGCTGGATTTCTTGAAGATGGCACATGAAGTCCCTGGGTATGAGGAGCCGATGATGAGGGTCAATTCAGACGAGGATGGTGGTGATAGACCTCTCGTGAGTTGGGTTGGTGGAGGGCAAGATGGGGGCCCAAACATTACGCTCTCGGTGAGGCCGTTGGTGGATACGCAACCAGTGAGCGGAGTAGTGGGAGAGATTGAAGGGGAGACGGAGGGGGGTGTGGAGGGAAATGGGGATGAGATAGTAGAGTGAGCGACGAATAGGCAGCTTTGGTGAGGGATCAATCGATGAGGAGAGATGGCAGGATTCATATGCATTTTCCATTGCAGCTTGACCGAGTGAAATCGTCTTGTATTGTCTCGAGATCCGGCTTCAAGCTAAATCCATGTACTCTTACATACTTCTTTGTATTGAAAGGCATCTGTTGTTGTGCATTGTGCGGTCAGGCTTTCCCACTTGAACCCTTATCGATCAACTCAAATCCCTTTCTAGGTGAGTGGCATAACATGTGTTCCCATATATTTGAAAGATGGAGATGCGCGGTTTTGAGCAAGTTCCTTGAAGTGATTGGCTACATTTAATGACGATTTGAGGTCAGGTCTCCTGCTTGGGGACCTTAAGCTCCAGATATACAAGATCACATCTACTGGGAGGCACCGTGAGCCGCTCAATGTTCTTAGACATGCCTCACGACTCACGCTCATTGAGCTCGATAAGAACATTTGCAATTCTTGACAAGGCTCGTGAAGAATTGTTTTGGAGCGGCTTTGCAGCTTTCTGTTCGAATTCTAATATTTCAGACTTTTTTGAGAATCTTGCGAATGTATCGGAGTGTCCATTTCCAAAGACGATAGATCATTCTGGTAACAACGTGGCTTGCTTCAGGCAGTATATGTTGAGAATCCGTGGTGCGAGGCACAGATCTTTCGGTAGTGTGTCTCCTTCCCGGCGATTTGTGCCCGTCCCTATTGGCAGGCACGGAAGCACGTCGTGCGTTGAGACCCTCAAAATATCTTTCGCAGCTCTGATCCGAAACTATCTTAATGAAACATCCTTCCACAAATTCACAACCTTTGTATTTCAGAAAATCTCTCATGCAATTCCGCATTCGCCGGTTACCTCTCCCTGTTCCGTGGAGGGCTATCATCAGGTGTCCAGGTAAGAATGCTAGGGCCTTTGCTAATTGTGCATGCGTCGCTTGATCCACCTTGCTAAAAGCCGTTGAGAAGAAAACATGGACGGATCGCAGATTCGGTAGGTTATCACTGATCCAGAGCATGCTTTCCTTCGCGGCTGCCGTTAAGGAACCTGAAAATTCTTGATCAACGGTTTTTGCAGTAAGACCAAGATTGGTAATGGATCGAAGCGTTTCGGCACTTTGTCTTTTCAACGAGGACGGCAGCAAGCTTGATAACTCGTCTGCATGGACGTGGCCTTGGCAAGGAGAGATGGTGCCTTCGCTGAACAGAATCTTCTTCTTATAAAGCAGTTGCCGTATTTCAGCGTATATCTGTCGGTTGATCATAGGACGCAATATGATCCTAGGTTTGTAAGATACCTGAGATTCATTGTACCAAGAATCCCACAGCGGCCGACGGCCGATATCATTCATACTGACACAGATTGGAAACCTGACAAGCCGACCGTTGACAAAAAACAGAGGTGGATCGCGGTAGTCCCCCACATTCTGAAGATATTCTTTCCTGTCAGGAGCCAGTACATATTCATATATGAGAAGTCGAATCTCTATTGGCAACAACAGGAATCGCGACTCTTGTTCCAGCTTTTCAGCGGGCATTGTGACGGTCATACTCCGTGTAATTGGAAAGCGCCGTGATGAGTGAATCGCGGCGTCACTAAATATTGATGAAATTCTGACTCAATGGCATGGAGCTTTAGTCTACCGTTTGGCTATGAGTCTGCCTGCATGTTTAGCGCAGCTTTAGCACCCAGTTGCCTAACGTTGCAGGGATTCTTGAGACGTAAGTTTTTAGTGTGCGCAGTGGCTAGCTGGCTAGAAGTGGCTACCATTCAGCTGAAACACAGATATATCTTGCTATCAAGCGTCCTTCGAGGATGGGACCTCGAATCTTTGATAGTATCTGTAAAAGCCACAAGGCGGTCTATGGCACGTTACTGGTATCATTGCCGCAACTCCTGGGATCGTGATTACCGCAATGCCTGACGCGAACATTTGTCGTTGGTCTTTACGGCAACATGATCACGTCTCCTGGATGTCGTAAGCGTTGATGGCTTCGGGAAGGAGTAGTGCCAATCTGCTGAAGTGATTGAATGATGATCCATGCGAGCCTCATCTTCCAAAGATGAAATGATAAAAGTCTCTTTGTTCCAGCTGCTTGTCTTCCCGAGACAGTAAGTTGCTCACTGTTCTGAGCTTCTCTTGGATTATTTGGGTCTCAAATTCCCACTTGCTTTCGTCCTCGGGCGTAGAAGATCCCCAAAACCAATTCTTTTTGGGCCGTTCAATTTGCTTGGCTGCCTGCTCATCCTTGAGCATACTTCTGGCCATGGTAGCCCAATTGTCCATAGCGCTACCCAAACATTCACTGCATTTTCTTCGAGCCACTCTGTCATTCTTGGCAGCGGATTCCAGAGTTGATTCTGCTAAATAAACAGCTTCGCGAGTCCAGCTAAGTCCTTCTTCTTGAGTCCTCAGATGACCTGTTTTAGTAGACTTCTTAGAGGACGTTCCTAAAGGTCTGCTGAGAGATGAAGCTTCTGCTGACTTGGAGATTGTCGATGCGAAGAGTGTTTCTCCGATGTTAGACATCAGACCTGCTTCCTCACAGATGGAGGTATCAGAACGTTCAGGCATCTCATCGCCATTTGGAGGCTGAGGAGGAAAGGGGCGTCTGGAGAAAAGAGTGCTCCAATACTCCCATATCGTGGACCAAGTGCTTTCGCGCTTGATTCGACCACCTTTTTTCGTTGATGATTTAGGGAGCTGCTTCCTAGCTCGCAATATGGAAGCAAAAATGGGAAGCGCAGCGGCGAGATCACCATGTCGAGCGTGATGTGACGCCAAAGCCGTGGTTGCCATCAGCATGTTAGACGAGACATAACTAGCTTCATTAGAAATTATCCCGGTTCTGATATCAACAACCTCATTGATCCCCTGCGGCAGCCCACCCATGGCTATATCCAAACCCCAATCAAAGACGTCTTCCGCAGTGTCCGATAGGCCCTTGAAGTCAAGCCAATCGCCGTAGGCAAGAGCCGCCTCAAGACGTTGGCCATTAGTAAAACCGTTGGTTGTAAGTAGCTTTGAATAGTAAACATGTGGAGATTCAAAGGCCTGTTGAACATCTTCCTCGAGAGGAGGGGGCTCAGCGCCTCGGTGTGGCTGCCTTGGATGTGGGTTAGAAGGACCAACGACGGTGTCCGCTGGAAACATCATGAGCCTTTTCGCGTCCTTCACTACCTTTTCAACATTCTCTGAAGTTCTCGCCATGCCCATTAGGACTTGATAGTATCCTCGTCGCCATGCCTCTGGTCTTGCAGAGATATCCAGTCCAGTTTTCCCCACTCCTGCAACAGATATCTCGCCGTCTTCCTTTAATATGGGTTGCAAGCCCGCGCCGTCTAGCTCTGGATCTTCAAGTCTCATCAGGACATGACTGTAGATTTGAGCAATTGCTGGCCAGTCGACGAACCCCGTCTTCTCGTCCCCTTTCTCACCTCTTCTTGCATGATGCCACCCGATTATGGTCAACCAAGTCCACCCTGGTGGTGAAGGATATCTAAGATCATCACGATCAAATTCAAGGACACTCCGTGTGAGGAAAAGAAGACCGAATATGGCCCATATTGTAAGCGTTGCCCTGCCAAATAATTTTACTTGATACTTAATAGCTTGTTTCCGCTCTGTTGTTAGAAATCTAGTCATTTGAAGTCGTATTCGGGTGCGTTGAAGACCATTCGTTACACGTACACGAGCAACGGGGTGGAGAAAGGGTAACTGCGGACGCAACGTTGGAGGAAATACAAGGAGTAATTGTGAATGCTGTGTGAAAAGCCGTGGACTTGGCCGTCTCTTCAGGTTCAGCGGAGGTGAACATGTTCGGTGGCCACCCCGAAGCGATAGTTTCGGGATGACCATATTGCCCTGATAAGCGAGACCTTGGAAGAAGGACAGGTCTGTATATGGAAAAGAAAGAAAGAGGCACCAGGAAGAGCTAATTTTGGCCGATGCTACGAGTAGTCTAATTACTAGAATTCTTTCAGGCCAGCTCAGAGCAGGGAGTGCGTATTTTACATCTTGACTGCGCATCTACGATTGATCTGATTTGGGGGTTGCTCCGATAAGCTTCTGAGGACGGGAGTATAACCTTAAAAGAATAAATTCTTCCGGGATGAAAATGTATCTGACACATTGACGCGTAGTCCTCGATATGAACCTCATTTGCACTTACCTGTCCAGAATATCAAGTGTTCCTCTGCTATATAATGCATAAAGAAAGCCTCGAGACATCCCTTGATGAACATCTCCAGCGGTATCTCCGGCTGCTGGACGAATACTCCCAGCTTCGAAATTCACTCAATAACGATCTAGCTAATGTGAGCTGCTTGGTTGAATACACGAAACGCTCAGTGAGACGATATGGCTAAACTTCATCAAGGGTTATATTTTGTTAGCAGAAGCCAATTTCTCGAATCCGAACAGGGTGCGATATGGGCAGGACTTCTACGACGGCCGAATGCAAGCATTGACCCAAATGTACAAGTCTTGTCTCCTGATGCATTGGACTTTGCGATTGACGAGATGCCGGGCAGTACCTTTGACCCAGCTAGCAATGCTCTAGAGTCACGTCACTACGATGCTGAAAAACCTACTGATTCTTCGAAAGGTGAGATGGCACAGATAAAGGACCCCCTCAAGTGGTTTGGAGTCTTTGTATCGCCTGCACTAAGAAGCTCCCAAGACAACTTCAGAACAGCAGTCTCTGGTGTGATAGCCCTGACAAATATCGTAAATCAGATGAAAATCGTTGAGATTGATGTAAAAAGGACGAGGAAGAAGCTGAGTAAGCTTTCTTAAAGCAGCAAAGTCCCTGCTTCGTTTGACTGCACTCAACGAGTGACAAGGCTGTCTGAAGGTCCTCAAAACTGAGCCACTGATCACACGCTGAGAAGAGCACGGAACCAGACTCAGCACTCTGCCGCTTGCTTTCCCTTTCCAAAGAAGGTCATAGCCCCAGAACAAAGGGCTTCGGCTCCAGTTTTTAATGTTGGCTGTATCACAGGCGCAAAGTAGCTGGAATGATTGACTGGTATGTCTTCCGCAGTTCTACCATCTTTTTCTGCTCTATCATACCTTTCGCGGTCAGTACCACCAAAGAACCAGAAGCAACTCGGTTTGCCAACACTTGTGGCAAGAATCGAGACGTCCTCGCTTGCGTTCATTGCCGGTCTTTCAGGCTCAAACTTCTCACCAAATGTCTTGGAGAAGGACGCCTTCACCTTCGCCGTCGCGCCCGCGTCATTAACGGTCATTGGAAACCTTGTCGTCCCCTCAATGAGTGGGTCTTTCGTACAGCCACTAGCTTGACACTCTCCCTTTACTATTCTTGTCATCGCTGCCAAGATCCTCTCCCTATTTTGCGGGCTTTGGCTTCTCACGTTTGCTCGTATGATGGCGTACTCGCTAATCACATTTTCCGTATCGCCTGACTGCAAACTCCCCACAGTAAGCACGGCGGGCTCACTTGGATCAATCTCACGACCCACAACTTGATGTAGTCTCGTTACTACGTTCGCTCCGAGCAAGACTGGATCGATGCAGTTGTGCGGCATACTACCGTGACCTCCTCGGCCAAAGAGCGTGATCTTGAAAGAATCTGCAGCAGCCATCTGCGTCCCTGTCCGCACCGTCACGGTACCAGCTTTACGGGGCATGACGTGTTGCCCCAATACTACATCTGGCTCAGGGATCTTCGAATACAGGCCGCCGTCGACCATTGCTTGGGCTCCTGCGCCTCTTTCCTCATTCGGCTGGAATATCAGAATCAAAGTTCCCGACCACTCGCAGAGTCTATGAACTAAGGTATCTGAGGCAGCCAGAAGACAGGTGATATGCATATCATGACCACAAGCATGCATCAAGGGCTTTTCAATCCCATCTGACCGGTCAACTTCCCTTTTGGTACTTGCATACGGAAGGCCCGTCTTCTCTTGGACGGGCAAAGCATCCATGTCTGCGCGGAGGAGGACTTTTGGCCCTGGACCGTTCTTCAGCACGGCAGCGATGCCATACCCGCCAATTCCTTCATGGATATCAAATTTGGAATCTGCAGGAAGGCTCTCATTCAGCCGATTGAGATTTTCTGATACCTTTGTTGAAGCGTACACCTCCTGGAGCGATAAGCCAGGATTCTGGTGGAGATCTTTATAGAGAGCTTCATAGAAGGGAAAGTCGAGCTGGCCGTTTTTCGGAGGTTCCATCCTACCTGTGTAAAGTTATGGTATATGGGTTTCAAAGTAAAGGTTCACGAGCGCAAAGGACTGGAACCCTTTCAAGTCAACATCATTCCTTATTTTTGCCGCAGACCTACTATGACGATACAGATGATTTAATTGCGGGGCAATGCTCTAGTTCTACTCCGCAGATTGGGCTTATATGACCAAATCAACCCCTGTTCTAAGACCTCTTGACTGAAGAAGGTCACTGGGTGTTGACCGTCTTCATGTGTACAAGAAGTAGAGTATAGCTCAGTTTTCCATGGTCGATTGCCCTTATCAACCTGAATTACAGATCATCAGCTCATGCATGCCAGGTAAGGGGGCTTCGGGGGAGGGTGGGGGGCCGCTTCGGCAGTTCTCGGCAAAGCCACTGCGGGAAAGTAAAATGCTGCGCCGCGGGATGACAGCTCAAAGCGCCCTTGCATCGGGCCATGCTCCTTATATGTGCAGGCCACAAGGCTGTCTGAGCCTCCTCGAGTCATTCCTCATGAATAGCTTTCATCTCCACTTTCACTTTCACGCCCTCATTCGCTTCCCTGCGCGCTCGCTGTTGTATTATCGTATGGAAGAGAAAAGCATGGAGATCTTTTGGATATTTACACGTTGAATTGGCTGGAAGAAGACTGGGAATGGACTCCCAGAGCTCGAAAGAGTCGAAAGAGGAAACTGCGTGGAATCCGCATATGCTACAGCCCCTTGAACATGTTCAGACTCGAAGCACGTCTCCGAAGTCCTTGTTGTCAGACCGGAGGCATTCTTCCTCTGCCAGTACCTCCACCAGATCGACAGGGGATGACCTAGACTCCAACAGTTCTCGCGGCCGTCGCTCAAGACCTTCTGTGACGGCAAGCTCGGCCAACCTGATTACTCTTCGCGAAAGAAGGGAGCAGCGAGATAGTCAATTGAGTACATTGCGAGAATTGACTGAGCAGCGAGACGAGCGCGCTCTCTCCGGCAACTCATCAGTGACTTTCACCCCCAGCCAGGATAGACCCTCGCTTGTATCGCCGCTTTCATCCGAGAAGTTCAGGCTCGGATCGGAAGAGAAAGTGGTTAGTTCAAGAAAAGTAATGCCGCCCAAGCTCAACTTGCTGTCTGCACCCTTATTGATGACAATCTAGGTCCTCCAATCATTCAGTAAAGTTGTCTCCAGAAATGTTGACAAAGAAGAAGCACGGCAACAGCAGCTTGACAGGTACAATCAAGAGAACGAAGTCCAGCGAGAGATTTACCGGCGTCTTGTGAAATGGGAAGATACGAAACATGTTGGATGGACCGACTATATGCTGTCGTGGTTGCTGCAGCATTTTCGACATTCTCCGATTCCGGACTCAGAGGAGCTGAAGTCTTTAGCCCGTCATTATTATCCCCCACGATCGGAATTGAAATGCCATGTCTGCGACTTTGGGCCTGGCAAAGCGGAGCACAAGGTCGTTGATCTAGGCCAAATCGAAGAGTATATGGTTGTCAAACCGGACTGGGCGGACGTCCGATGGGTTCATTGCCCATTAGGCCTAGGTCTGATGCATTCATCCGTAGAGGATATCTTTATGCACGAAGGCGAGATTGGCCGATCGTTTGAAAACGCAGGGAGATCAGGTTTCCCTTACTTGGAGACCGAAATCTTAAACTTCAGACACCGGGAAAACTTTCAGGAGATGCGGGATGTCTACTTACTGTTACGAGATCGAGACGAGCTTGATGATGATCTCAATGAATCTACATGGAAAGCCGATCATAACGCGAGCCTCCATACCGACATCGATTGGCGAGCAAAACATTTGGCTACCAAGCCGAATTTCTGGAATTTGGTAAGCTCTGACATGCCCTGGCAACTATCCGAAGGCTTGTCTATGGGAGCTATGACACCCAAGTTTGGACTTCAGGCCATCTCTCGCAAGGTAGAAGACCAAATCTTATCCATGTTTCCGTTCTACGAAGACGCGCAGCTGGTTCGAGATCCATTTCGAGCCTTCCATCGTGGTGACGGGTTTCTTCTCACTCTTTCTCCGATGGGTGGCGTCAACTACCTGGACAAAAGCTTCTCGGAACATCTAGCCGAACCGTTGGATGCAATGTTCGAGAACGACGATGCGTCCGCGGTTGGTCATTCCTACCAAGCCTTTGCTGAAAGTGGTACGGACAGCTGGCACCGAAGAAATGTAGAATGGTTCCTTATCTATCTAATGACCGAAGTCGGCACCACACCCCACCCAATGCGCCAGGGTTTCAATGCCCCAACAGTAGACAGCGCTTACAGTTCTGTAATCCAGGAGCTAAAGCGACAGCGTTTTGATGAATGGCAGCCCAAAGTGACTGTGACCTTAGTGCGGAAGTATCTGAATTGCCTGGACGAGTTGACTTACATCACGCTCAATCTCAAGAAGAAGATGAGCATGTTCAAAGCTGCCCAACTAGACATTAAGTCGTTCGAGCTCGAAGACAAGGACAGAGGAAATCTGCCGGATAATCCGGACGGTGAAAGCGCGTTGCAGAGGCTGGAGTGGGCGATCACGACAATCAAAAATGACTCGGAATACTTTGAGCGCCTTTTGATTGATTTGAAGCAATCACTCGATGCGGTAAGTCAAGCCTCCATCTCAAGTAGGCTAGGTAAGCTGACAAAAATACTCCCACAGCTCTTCCAGATCCGCTCCATCGAACAAAATGACATGCAGATCGTTTCTGACTCTCAAAACAAAGCGATTCTGGTGTTCACCGGTGTTACCACCGTCTTTCTCCCCCTGTCTTTCTTTACGTCTTATTTTGGAATGAACCTTGAAGGTATCGCCAATACAAAAGAATCTCAAGGGTATTTCTGGAAGGTCTGTGGGACGGTGGCTTTCTTGATCGTGCTTGTCATCACCTTCGGAGCTTTCAGCCATCATCTGAGACGGGTGAGCAGACAACGAATGAGAAAGTCGGGTGCTATAGGTATATGATATTTGGGGAGATGGTCCTCTGCATCGGTGAGAGTTACTTCTATCTAGAGTGTGAAGGAGCGATGATGTCCCTGAGCAACGTTCAGTGTACGATAGAGACGATGTGAGATGCGACGGATTGGATAGAAAGATCGATTGAAATGATGCATAATGCAGCGGAAGACGTTCTTCTCACTCAGTGTCGCATCACATGCCATTACTGTGTTTATTACTCAAGATGAAGCCTTCTATAGCGGGTTGAGGACTCACAGAACCACTCTCTGCCTTTTTTCACGTGGCAAAGCTTGCTCTCGAAAGAGCAAGCGGCCGAAGAGGGTATGGCAAAAGCTTGTACGGGGTAGCATTTGCTACTGTATGCCTATCACAGAGTAAACATTCTGTAGAAGCCTCCGAGGTTTAACCCATCAATCTACGGTCGCAAATGTTGTCGTCCAATGTACATGGTTTGAAAGGTCAAGTATCGCTGCGTGTGCTCAAAAACACGGAAAATGCCAGAGAACAGAACCACGCAATATGTCACTCGGATGTTTGTCGCACAATGTCACTTTCAGTCCCTGTCTGCTTTCCCGATTTCCCACCTTCGACGACTAATCTGTCGAGTTGGAAGAATTGGCTTACAACCGTCTGCCTCTATTTTTTCCATTGGGGTCAGTAAGCGTCAACCCCCAATCGAGCAAGCCCGCGTGCAGGATCAAGTAGACGCACCTTCATCATCTGTAACTCTCTCAAGCCCTTTTGCATCAGCTCCTGCGCCTCTCTCCCATCGAGTGCCTTGGAGTGATTTTCTCGAAAGGCATCTTTTGTTCTCCGCTTTGCGTATTCACGGAAATTGTAGGCGGCAAATTGAGACGATTGGCGCAGGAGGGAGCGAAACTTGGTGACATTAGTGGGTATGATTGAGTGTGACAAGGTGCGCCTAATTTGAAAGCACGATTACTTACCAGAGAGCGGGCTTGAAATGCTGCGTCACCCTTCAGGACGGTCATGGACATAACCCTGGAAAGCTGCCTCCAGGTCGACGCACAGATCAGAGATGTTGAGCTTTCAGCGAATCTGTGTCATGAAGGATGCGTTCGAGTCATTGGGTTCCAATGGCGAGCATTGATGGAAAGGGAAAAGGCTGTTGCTTTACGCTAAGATCTTATCGCGGGGCGCACCCGATTCTAACCTGAAGCGTGTGGGGACAGGGGAGTAATTGGCGTGACTGGTGGCTGGGCGAAGTCAACGATGCATCACCAGCAGCGCAACAGGACAGGACGTGACGCATTCCATCCCAACTTTAAGCGTCAAGCGTCACGGTAGCGGGAGCGGGGCTTGCTGTCAACCATGAGCTTTTGGTAGATTTATGCTTTGCAATTGGGGCCGGTTTAACTGGACCAAGTGGATCTCATCATGGCGCCAGTAGGTCACTTCACCCTCCCCCCCCCGGTCTTTCATTCCATCTCATCTCGCACGCCTCCTCTGCCCTCTTCTCCTTGCACTCTACTGCATATGCAAGCAGGCGCTTCACAAATAAAGCACCCGTGACGTCCGGTGGCCGATTGTCGTGTCCTACCTGTCCATCCCCATCGTCTCACCATGCCCTACATCATCGACATGAACTCCGTAGAGTGGCCAAGTCCATATCTACAAGCCAAAGTCGATATTGATCCATATCATCGCGAGCTGACTTCGACGCCACAGTACCGTACCAGTCGAACCAGCAACCGTCAGGTCCGGAACCAGGCTGTGGACCATGATGTCTTCGAAGGTCTACCCGTCCGACACTGGCGGAAGAGACCCGTCAATGTCCACACAGCCCCGGAAAAAGATGCAGCGAAGGCACCGAGTATTATCGAAAACGGGTACAGGGAGCTTCCCCTACCCCGCGACTTCAACCTGCTACCTGAAAACAGCCAGGCCCTTCTGAGAGCGGCCCGAATGGGACTCCGGAGTAAACCTGAAACAACGGAAGATGATAAGGAAATAGAAGAAAGCGAGCCCGTCGCAGGCAATGAGGAGACGGGCTTCCTTATGCACAAGTGGACACTGGTCCCGCGGGAACACGAAGGAATAGAGCCAGAGTACCTTGCAAAAAGAAGAAAAGGGCTCCCATCCGTATATAGCGGAGGCGCTTTGAACGGAGACACAACCTACATGCGAAAAACCAAGGTCAAGAAGGTCGATACAGATGGAACCACTTCCATATGGGAGGTCTTGGTTCCAGAGGGTCACACGATCGACAATGAGGTCCTTGAAGATGAGGCTGACGCCAATCCGGCGCCTGCACCGGGAACTATCGTCGAGGGTGTCGGCATTGTTAATGCAGAGGGCTTAGTCGTAGCCGGCGAACAGACTGCACCCGTTTCGAATAGGAGAAAACCGCCAATTCCAAAAAAGAAGAAAAAGCATGGGCCGGGTCGAGGCCGAAAGAAAGTCTCTACGCCAGCTCCAGGTGAATCTGAAGGATCAAATACTAACGGTCTTGGTCGAGAGAATGGTCATGCAAAAGATCGGACAGATTTGGCGGTTCTGGGTGAAGACGGCCAGGCCGCGAACGAAGAAGATTCTGTCATGCTGGATGCAAATCAGGATGACGATGAGGGAACTGAGGAGGGCAGCGACATCGAGGACGGTGATGACGACCGTGAAGACGGGGAACTATCACCTACTCCCGAGGAGGTGCCTGCAATTCAGATTGACCCGCCCAAACAAGAGGACATGCCCAGGGCAAAGAGTGCCACACCTCCACCAGTGTCTACCCAACCTCACCAAGATACTGAGCTACCACAGGGAAGCTCCATTGCAGAAGTAGGTAACATTGCTTTCGAAACACAGCCGGACGAAAGGCCTGTGACGCCGTCCCAGCCTGCTCAGGATCTTGCCCAGCCAGGGTTCATACCTGGGCTTTACCCAGAGGCTCATACACGGCGTGATGCTCATGACCTTGCACAAGTCGATATTGAGACCACGGTCAGTACGCCACATGAGCCCTCAACATTGTCGGAGGCACCTAAAGCCGTCGATGAAATCGACATCTCTTCTCCTGTCAATCTTGGAGGTGGAGAAGTAGAACGAGTGTCAGCATCTGCTGAAGTGGAGGAAAATCGAACTTTACCATCACTTGCACTGCAAGTAGACCTGCCGCAAGCCAGTTTGCAGTCGATAGTGTCAGAAGAGCCACAGCCATCACCAATGACAGCTGTCGCCCCTATTCTACAAACAGCCTCAACTCCTAGTGAAATAAGCCCTCTCGCTGCACAATTATCTGCCGGTGTTCCAGACATAAAAAGCCCGCCGCCAATTCCACTTACGCTGTCGAAATTCCCTGAACCTCCATCCGCACTACCAGCAAGACCGCCCTCACCACCGCCGCCACCTCCCCACCAACAACAGCAACAACTACAACAACAGCCACACCCACCTCCATCAGCTACTTTGGAACAATATCGGAGACCTTCAGGGTCCACGCCGCAAGCTCCAACTCCATCCCCACCGACTCCTATAGAAACCACTTTTGAAAACCCCTATCAGGGTCTAAGTCCAAAAGCTCCGACAATGAGCCCACCGACACCTATCCCAGCAGATCTAGATTCCTCACCAGAAACTGCGCTTGCTGATAAGCAATCGAAATACTCAGATCCGCCACCGCTGTCCCTTGATGAAGCTCCTCGGCCACCTCCACCAATGGCTATCCCTGGATTACAACCATATGTACCAGAGCAGAGAATAGAAGTCCAGGCGGCACCTCCTGTAAATAACCCGAGCTTTGATGCGGAAATTCCACATGCTCATGATCCCTTGGATGGCCTCGCTGCTCCAGAAGTCCCATCCGACGATCGTAAACTCGACGCGTATCAATCGAGAACTGAAATCGACGTCGAAGCTGCTCCAGAAATTCGTAGCCCAAAAATTGACGCTGAGATTTTACACGGACACAATCCACTTGATGGGCTAAGACCTCCTGAAATACCTCCCGATGAGCTGAAGCTAGACCAGCAGCAACCAGGAGCTGATGGCATAGTGAGATTTGAAGACGGTGACGAGGATTTGCTTGGAACGCACGAGAGGAGCTTGCAGGACAAGCGAACCTAAAAAAGAAGCGATTTGGGTGTTGGCAACGCTCTTGGTGCTCTTCTTGGTCATTAAGAGCTCTACCATTTTGGACTAGAAAGGATCTACACCGTTTTCACACGTAGAATACGTGTTACCTCCGACCACACTTACTCACAGACTTTTACAATAGAATATGAATGACCCCTTGATTTTGAAATATCTGCTCGAGGTCTTCTGCCTCTCGGCCCCTTTCCTTCCAGGGCAAATGATGTACAGATGAAGGAAAATCACGTCCGAGTGACTGTCCGGTTATGCAAACCACAAGAAATGTAGCATAAAGCATACATGCGCTTAATTTGATTACACAGGCTATCTAGATCTAATAGTCGTCCCTCCCGTACTTGTTGAATTGGTCATGCGCTCTCTAGTATCCTTATTAGCATTTCTCAGAACATAAAACCCTCATGTGAAAATCACATTACCTTTGGAGCCGTTACATTTGGCACAATAACGCTATTCAACGCACTCGGAGCGTCCTTTATCGGTTTACTCCGATCCCCACCAGGATGATATTGATATTTGAAGTCCTCGCCCGAGCCCCCTCGGCCTTCTGTCTGCCACGGTGCCGATCCTTCAGCCATGGCTACTGTTGCCTCCGAAGAACTAGATGTGGGTTTTCGTCCTTTCAATTGTCAGCTTACCCTGCCTACCGAACACCCTAATCTCTATGAGCCGTACCGAAATGGTAGCCAACCAGTCCAAACGCGCCGGTCATGATTGTGGCAAGAATCTAAAAGGACGTCAGGATGTCTGCATAGCTAGATTGAGGCCATGAGAGGTATACATAAAGTTCGGGATCTCTCTTCGCCCCCTTGTTCACGGGGTTATCTGATCCTTTGCCTCCAACTTCGTTGATCTTCTTCGATACATTGCCAGCTGATGCCCCGGCCTTGCTGGCTGCTTGACCGACTTTACTAGCCGCTCGACCTGCAGCTGCTGACATGGCGAGCGATCAGATGAGTACTGAAAAGGAGGCTGAATACGGTGGAGAACTAGAGCCATGGGTGGCTTTGATGGATATAAACGCCATGAGACGGCTAGTTCCGGCGGCTGTCAAATGCCAAGACCATGCATCATTCCCGTCGCGCGGGCAAGTCGGCATGCAAGGAAGGGCTCGCGCAAAATTGGTCAATGCGAGAATATTCCGTAGAGCAATTTCTATTCTATCTGCTACAATCGCATCATAATCGACAGCAATACATCGCCGTCGAGAGCTGCAGCCCACAAACCGCTGAGCAGCATCAAGAGAGGTGGAAGGTCATCCGGACGACCGTCTTTACCCCTATTCCCAATTTGGTAGTTTTGCAATGAGCTCTACGTTTCCTCAGCGGTGACCATCATGGGATTGGTGAGAAGGCCCGAAGACCGTCACCGTGTAGTGTAAGCATGGCAATGCCGTCGGAGCCTCAATCAGATACCCCCTACACCAATCATCAGCATGCCCCCAGCGTTATATCCTCACGAATGACAGACGTTGGGTCTGAAGATGGAGACGACTTCTATGCTGGTGGGCTCGGATCTGATGCTAGACCTGGCACGGCGGCGTCTACCAATGCCCACCGCCCAGGATCTGCACTGTCTTCTCAGACTCGACCCTCCATGAGGACGCCAGTATCACGAAGGGGCTTAGGGTCTCCTGGATCCTTGAATACCTTGAGAGCAGGAGGTACTTTGGGAATTGGTGGGTCGGTGACGGATGCAAGCCGGCCGACTACGTCTACGACTACAGCTTCGCGGACTCATGTTCCTTCATTAGCTTCCCATGCCTTCTTCAACCCTATGAGCTCTCAGAGACTACAGGCTCAGCGGGCTGCAAGACCCTCTAGAGGGTATAATCCAGTGAGTGGGGATGGAACGAGTGAAACAAGGCTTAGTACACGGAGGAATAGTATGACAACGAATCCCACGGATTACCAAGAAGCAGAACGCCTTGATCGCGACAGGGCTCTACCATCTCGAGGCACTGAATTCACAGCACGCGATGATCGGACCATTACCAATGCAAGTCCCGAGGGCAAGACTACCATTCGAAGTTATGGTGAGAGCGAAAGGCCCCTTCACCACAATTTCCACGGGCGGGAACCAAATGAGACCGTAAATCGCGGCCATAGCGGATCTTCTGAGGCATCTCCTTCTTTTGTGAAAGCGCCGCCACCTGTGTCCAAGCCTGGAATCAATTACCAGTACTTCTCGGGTAATACCGTCTTCTGGATGGGGGGCAGACTGCAGAATACAAGGGATCGTCCCATTAATGTTGCCAGTGGATTGTTTGTCATTGTGCCTTCAATCATGTTTCTTGCAACTTCGTAAGTATGTCTGCAAAATTCGAGTCAACTGCGCTGATGTTCATTAGCGGGCCGTACCTCACAAAACACGCATCTGCGGCCGTACCTTTTTTTATGCATACCTCTTCTTCATCTGCATTTCCTCCTTTGTCCACGCTTCGCTCACAGATCCAGGAGTAAGACATACGTCCGCTTCCCAGATGTTCGAGTAAGTATTCGCTGATTCCGGCCTAGATATTACCTCGAAACCTGCATCTTATACCAAAGCAGGAGTCAGACGACCCGCTAGCTATAGCTCCACCATTAAGTAATTGGGCAGCCGTCAGGACATCTGGAGCTAATGACACTATGGTGAAATTCCTTCCCATCAAATTTTGCAAGACGTGCAATATTTGGCGGCCCCCGAGATGTCATCATTGTCGAATCTGCGACAATTGTATCGAAACACAGGACCATCATTGTGTCTGGATCAACAACTGCGTTGGCCGACGCAACTACCGCTACTTCTTTACGTTCATAAGTACTGGGACACTACTTGGCTTTTACCTCATTTTTGGTAGTCTGGGTCATTGTCTACACTATGCCTCCTCGAATCATGTGTCATTCAGGAGTTCTATAGATGTTAATCGCGTTCCGTTTGCTTTGTTCATTATTGGCATCTTGGCTACTATCTATCCTGCGTGCCTGTGGGGATACCACCTGTGGCTCATTGCTCGTGGAGAGACTACGCGAGAGTACCTAAACTCACACAAGTTTCCTAAGAAGGATCGACACAGGGCATTCACTCACGGGAATATTTTCAAGAACTGGATGATCGTTCTGCTACGGCCAAGGACTCCTACTTATCTTCGATTCAAGTCACCATACGAGGAAGGCGACCAGCGGTTTGGGCCACGAAGAGGGAAGGGGCAAGCTCGTCTCGTTGCTGAGCAACAGGGCGGAGGAATGGAGCTGCATGAAGTTACCAAACCTCCGCATATCTAGCATGTGGTTGGAGGCTCTCATTGCGGGGACGCTCGAATATGTAAATATCTATTCTATTGCTGGTGTACATAAATCTGGGTTGGAGCAAAGATGGATCAATTAGACGTTTTGTAAAAGCTTCATGCGAGCTTCAGATAGCCTAATGTAATGCAATATGGCGGTATGTGTGAGGTCTCGCAAAATGGTTGTCCAGTCAAACATTTGGAATGCTCATTATATTGAGCGACACGCGATTGGCTGGAGCTAGTCCATCTGTGTTGTTCTTGCCCCAACTTTAAGACCTCACTTGCACCCCAACTTCTCTTTCTGTATTCTCCAAACCCGCACCTCGACTTTTATCATACGAACCTCAATCCAAAAAGCTGACAAGCCTATTCAAGCACCCTATTTCAAATTGCTTTATTCACTCTTCTTATGAGACAGTCCGAAAGTCAACACTCGACGCCCACGCCCAGCTCGAACGCGTTCTCCACGATGCTAGGCTATCTCTCGCAGCAGCTGGGATTGTCTCCGAAAGCTGAAGAGAAAAAGGCGCGTAAACAAATGACACTGGACACCATGTTCGCAAATATTAAGGAAAAGAATGCCTCAAAAGAGAGCTCGACCCCACCCTCTCTCACCACAGCATCGACCGCCACAGAACGCTCCAGCGAGCCAGTAGAAGACTACGCGACATCTGGCCTCAGCATGACTTCTTCTTTCACCAGCAATTCTACAACTAGAGTCACTCCGCGTAGCGAGCTTCCAGCACTACAATTAGATGACACCAATCTTGGATCTGAGGAACCCGAGCTCCCCAGCACACCCTTGATCATGAAAGCCAATGACTCGCAGGAAACACTCGTTCGTAAAAGCATGGACCTGCTACAGCCTGAGTGGGAGCTTGGCGCCCTACCTGGAGATGAGCTCAACCTATCTCCGTCTCCCAAGAAATACACAAGCCCAAGGAAACAGAGAGCTCCAGGTAAATTTTTCAAGGAGCAGGTTGGCACTATGGTGGATAAAGCAAAAAAGACTGTACTTGGCAAGCGAGCGCGCAAAGACTCCGAATCCGCATCGCCTATGAAGAGATCTACCAATGATCTGAGGCGGACCAGTTCAAGGCTCCAGGAAGTTGTGCCCCGAACCTCAGAGGAACCTGCTGCAAAAAAGCCCAAGATTTCACTGGTGAAGGAAGAGACAGCAAATTCTACTTTAAGGACGTCGGACAAAGCTACAAAGAAGCCAGTTAAGCAGTGGGTAAATCAGGGGCTGTACGTGGGGCAGGATCGGCGTTCAAAAGCCAAACTACCAGGGATTCAGAAACAAACGGGTGAGGACGCCAGTGATGAAAATACCAAGCAGCCCCGGGAAAACAAGCTGTTACCACGGCCTATGTTTGTGGGCGAGATGATGATCAACCGTGATCGTGATTTCAAGCTTCCTTATGATGTGTTCTCGCCCCTTACAGATCGGCAACCAGCGCCAGACGAATGGAGAAAGCAGCAGAAGAGTGAGTCTCTTCATTGTGTGCCCTAGCTTGTAACTTACCAGGCTAGATACGCTTATTGGCGATGCAAAGCACATATGGAAAAAGACTCGCCATACTGAGGAATCCATGTGTGGATGTAAACCCGAGACTGGCTGCGGCGAAAATTGTCATAATGCTATAATGTTCTATGAATGCGACGAAAACAATTGCAGCCTCCCCGCCGAAAAGTGCGGCAATCGAGCCTTTGCTGATTTACAGGCACGTAAGGAGAAGCACGGCAGGACTGCTAAGGAGCTGTACAACACCGGCGTTGAAGTTTTGCTAACCGAGGATCGTGGTTATGGCATTCGTGCTAATCGAACTTTCGAGCCAAGCCAGATTATCGTCGAGTATTCCGGAGAGATCATTACACAAGACGAGGCTGACGATCGCATGCGTAATAAATACAAAGACGCTGCAGTGAGTCTATACATCGGCTTCACATGACGATACCTTGTATACTGACCCCTGTGTAGTGCTACTACCTCATGGATTTTGATCAAGGCATGATCCTTGACGCTACCAAGGGCAGTATTGCACGCTTTGTAAACCACTCCTGTGAGCCAAATTGCCGCATGATCAAATGGACAGTGAAAGGCGAACCCCGCATGGCTTTGTTCGCCGGCGACAGAGGTATCATGACTGGCGAGGAGCTGACATACGACTACAATTTCAACCCTTTCAGTATGAAGAACACCCAAACCTGCAGATGCGGCACTGACAGGTGTCGCGGTTTCCTCGGGCCCAAGCCTAAGGAGACGAAGGAGACGAAGGAGATCAAAGAGGCTCTCAAACCTATCGTCAATAACGGTAAACGTAATTTCACGGAAATCTACGAAGACGTAAAAGAGGGCGTCAAGGAAGTCGTTAACGGCAAGCGCCGTAAAATCAACAAGCCTAAGTCTCTCAAAGACTTGCCCCCAAATATGTATATTCCAAAATCGAACAACCCAGAAACCAAGAAACCGCAGGCAAAAATGTTACCCAAAGGCTGGGTCATCCCCAGTGAAGCGCAGCCGGTCCGTAATGTCAACAACGATGATCCAGAAGCGCTCATGAAAGCAATGAGGGAGGAGAAACGAAAGAGGAAAGCAGCGACTGATGGTAAAGAATCTATCGAAGGCGGTAAGCTCGCCAAGAAAGCTCGACTCACGACAGTAAAGGAAGAGGAAATCGACGACGAAGCTGAAGATGTTGAGATGGCGTCCCAGGTAATGGCAACTACTTCCGTCAAAGAAAAGGCAAAGAGCGCAAAAGACTCAGTGGTCAAATCGATGAGAAAAGGAGGAAAACGATCGTCGCTTCTAAAATCCGCTAGAACGGTGGAGGATATCGACGAGGAGGAAGAGGACTTGTAGTATTCCAACTGACACGTTTCACGAAGGTTGTATTCAGTGGTCATGGGAATATGTCTCCTTCACTATGGCGGCTTGAGATAGATGTGTTCGAGGATGCTCTAGGGTTCATTCGTCCAAGGGAGTGCGGCTTGCTGCATGAGACCCTGGACGATTCGACTCTAGAGATTACTGCATATTTATCTCGTTGCTTTATTGAGGTTGAGCGATTCTTGTGAGAACTGTTTGTTGCTGAAGTGCTTGTGCTAGAAGTCCTCGTTCTTCATTTACGTGCTTCGTTCTGCGTATTGGGAAGTATGTTGATTGAATTCTCTGTGGAGAGTGAGGAGCTTCTCAACGGTTGGAATTGAACGAGTCGAATGAAGTTGCATTCTTTGCTGTAGCTAGGAGCACCTCCCGACCCTATTTACACTTGCAGAAATAGACGCAGAGGTGGTTGTCCGAGTAGCACAGACTTATGCATTGTCGGGGCTGTTTTCAACAAGAATCATGCATCTCTACTGTCGATGATAGAGGAGAGGTTGGCATGCACGTCCAAGGCGAACAACAGGTTATTAGGATGACATTGTTATCTTATCACTAGCATGTATTAGACAGGACATTTGAAGGATTTGTATGCCTAGGAAAATTTGAAGAAACCGTTTGCAGAGCGTGGAGTATGCATGGTGCAATTCCATGTCAGTCAGTCAGTCAAGTAATCGATATCAATTTATCTCATGTACTTCCTAGTCTGCTAGGTAGGCTTCTGTAACTCTACAGTATTGTCTGATTCAACAATTCACGACTAGAAAAGCCCTATATTATATGATACTTTGAGCTGCTGCGTGAATGTTGACAGGAACTCGAGGATATCGAGGTCTACCACTCAACAGTGCAAGGTCTAGGTCTATGTTTGTGATGCTGAGAGGTGACTTGTTGGTGTCTCGCTTGAGAAGTTGAGTATCTTCAGGATTGGAGAACGCTCAGAGACAGGAGGGGTTGAGCAACTATGTACAGTCGTTTCCATGGCAGTGTGCTTCATCTGGCTCCAATATGACGGTCTCTCGCTAAGATATGACATGTTTTTAAGTGTGAATTTAATGGCTTATCGATCTTCCTGCTGGTTTTGAGGCAGCGCGGGACAGCAAGCTTCTAATTTGTTGGATGAAATGCATGCTTGAAGGAGAAACTTTCTTTGCATGATAGGGCTACAATTGATGAATTGTGGAGGAGTGGGGAAACATTCCTGGCTGGTCTAATCACGCACGATATCGAAACTTCAAATTTTTTGTCCCTCCGAGATGTATTTGGCAGATCGATTCTCTATGCTTCGAGAATTGAATGCTTTCGTACTACCACTGCGTATCAAATGATCCAAACACAACAACAGAGCTCTGCCAACTTGCACCTAAAAGACACATAGGAGAAATCAAGTTCTAGCTCGAGGATTACACATCATGTGACTTACTTTCTAGAGATGCCATATGACGATGAAGATAAGATGGGTAACAAGGACTACGAACTCTTGCCATTGCTGTCACAGGAGATGGAAGTATTATACTTGCATTCGAAAAAAAAAAAAGAATATGAGTACATCAAACGATTGAATTTGCTGCTTGGTCAGAACTGCTACCTTGGGTATGATGTGATGGAGACGGGAAAACGCTCGGGACACCTCCATCTTGAAACCACAAGAACAAGTCCTAAGCCAGTCAATCCATCCAAAATTAGTTGCCCGCAAGCTGGATCATACTTGAGTTACTTGCATAAAAAGACTTCTTGATTTGCGGGTTCGGGGTCACGTTTTGCCGATGCGGAGGCCAAGGAATGATTTGCCACCAACGGCTAACCTTCAGTAGACGTCGCTCCCTAACATTGAACAAACATCCTAACCGAATCGAACGGTCTGTATACGACCTAGGAAGACGTCTTACGCAATGTCCTACCAACACCTCCGTCAAGTGTCATGCCAGCATAGATCGTCAGAGAGTCGGTCAACCGGGTGAGCAGAGGCAATGTCGGTGACGCACGTCGTCCCTTCACGTCAGAATGGAATACCGTTCCAGCGAAGGCTGAAAAGATGGTTGAATATGCCGCAAAGCCACACTGGCAAAGACTGGAGAATGTCTGGGTGGGTTTCTAACGCAAACCCACTAGCGTCGATCACGCAATCGTCCAGCGGAATGGGCTAATAATCTACTCTGCCTGCTTCTGGCATACGCAATTCCCCACACAGCAACTCACGCGCTGAATAATAATGATGTCTCTTTCCCTCCGTACCTGCATTTGTAACGGCTCTCGGAAGATCGTCATCTACGCAGCTGCCCACTTAACACAAAAAGAGATCAGACTCCTGCATTCCTTTCATTATTGCCTCCCAACACTGTTGCACCTCTCTGTTCATCCATTGACCAATTTTGCTGGATACTTTTCTTGCTCATAAGTCCTTCAGCGCAGGATGGGAGTCGTATCATCACCAACATCGGAGTTGGACAACGGCTATGAGTCTGGCTATGTCAGTGGCACTGCGAGCGAAGACAGTCTCCCAGAATTGCACTTTACTAAACCACATCTCCGCTTTCTTAACCGCCAATTACAGTTTCTTGAGCCACGAGGCAAGTTTGGACCCGTGCTTGCATGAAGGCGCGACTGACTTCATGCAGAAATCCTCCAATGGTGCATTACGACTCTACCAGCTCTATATCAAGAGACAGCCTTTGGCTTGACTGGGCTCTCTACCATTGACATCCTCTCGAAGATGAAAATTCCAAGACCGTCCATGGTTGACCTCGTCTTCTTCGATACTCTTCACAACTTTCCCGAAACGCTCGATCTGATCGATCGAATCCGCGAGCGATATCCTTTAGTAAATTTACACGTCTACAAACCAGCCGGTGTCAATACAGCCGAGGAGTTCGCGCGGAGGCATGGCGAAAAGCTTTGGGAGGTCAATGATGAGTTGTACGATTGGGCCGCAAAGGTCGAACCTGCAGAACGAGCATACAGAGAACTGGGCGTTCACGCAGTCCTCACTGGTCGACGACGGAGTCAAGGAGGCAAACGCGGTGATATTCCCATCATAGAAATCGACGAAGCTGGTCTGATCAAAATCAATCCGTTCGCCAACTGGACATACAAGCAAGTTCGGGACTACATCAAGGAAAATAACGTACCGTACAATGAGCTGCTCGATCGTGGCTACAAGAGCATTGGTGACTGGCACTCGACGAAGCCGGTGAAGGCAGATGAAGATGAGCGCGCAGGTCGATGGCAAGGTCAAGAGAAGACCGAATGCGGGATCCACAATCCGCGGTCGAAATTTGCTCAGTACTTGAAAGAGCAAGAGATGGCAAAACAGCAGGAAGCACTGCGGCAAGCTCTTGATTCGGAGCTGCAGATCGCCGCATAAGGCTGCGCCGGTCTTCAACCTTTTCATCTTTTCATCCTTTCATCCTTTCATCGGTTGGCGTTCATTGCATCTGATAGCGTGGGGTTTGGAGGCTCATAAAATGTACAACGCACATGCATATTTGGCATGAACGAATGGGATGTCAGGAAAAATTTCCAGCGATGTCCAACCTGCATGAACCACAGCATAGATCCTAGACTTAGAAACGAAATTCATTTGGTGACTCGCTCAAGTGGGCAGGCTTAAGAAATGTATTATGTCTGCTCGTGAATCTCCAGCCCCAGCAAGCGGTGCGTAGAGGCTAGGGCAGCCCAAGTGTGCGCACGTCATGGCTTTGCCGAGCTCGGAGAATTCGAAGTCTTACCAAACAAATGGAAGCATCGGGTGTTAAGCCTTACCAAGCTTGCCCAAGTCCCTTGGACTGTATATAAAGCCCGCGCTTGACACCTCGTCCTTGTGCCTTGTTCAAAATTGAAGTCCGCTGATGTGTCGCTGTCTCTTACGACCATGATAGGACCGTAGAGCACGCATTCGTCTCCTCCTGTTTTGTTGTTTCCAATTTCTTAAACAATCGTCTCGTCCGAAAGAAGCAAGAGAAGCCTTGGTGTCCCTGCTCTTCCTTCGTGAACATGGCAAATCCGCCGCATGGCGGGGTCTTGAAGGACCTGATCGCCAGGGACCAGCCTCAATATGACCGCTTGGTTGCGGAGGCGGAAAACTTGCCTGCCATTGTCTTGTCAGAGCGCCAACTATGTGATCTGGAGCTCATTCTAAATGGGGGCTTCTCTCCGCTTGAAGGTGAGTGAGATTTGTCAAGCGTGCTTCTTGCATTGCGCGTGAACAAGTCATTGCGAGGCATTTTTCCTTCTTATGAAAACTCGTGGCCTTCGAGCATGGGATCTGAGTGTAACAAATGACTAAGACGAAGTGCCTGACCTTTCACCCTAGGCTTTATGAGTGAAAAAGACTACAACTCGTACGTTCTTTGCTTGTCTTGTATGGACGTCGTTGACGGCTTCTCCTTAGTGTGGTGAAAGATGTCCGGCTGTCAGATGGCACACTCTTCAGCATGCCGATATGCCTAGATACGACCCAGGAGAAGATCAAGGAAGCTGACCTGGAAGTTGGGTCTCGCGTAACACTTCGAGATTTCAGAGACCAATCAAATCTTGCAATCATCACCATTGAGGATATTTACCAGCCCAACAAGTACGTTGCCATTCCCAATATTCTCAACTCCACTAACCCCTTTTTCAGAGACACAGAAGCTCGCGAAGTCTTCGGCGGCGACCCGGAGCACCCAGCAATTAAATACTTGCACAACACCGTCGGCACACACTACATCGGCGGCCGAATTCAAGCCGTCAATCGTTTGAACAACTACGACTATGTTGCCTTGCGATACACCCCAGCCGAGCTCCGCATCCACTTCGAGAAGCTCGGCTGGACACGAGTCGTCGCCTTTCAGACTCGCAACCCAATGCACCGCGCTCACCGCGAACTGACCGTCCGTGCAGCCAGAGCACGCCAGGCAAATGTGCTCATCCACCCAGTTGTAGGGCTCACCAAACCCGGCGATATCGACCACTTCACCCGTGTCCGCGTCTATCAAGCTATCCTCCCACGCTATCCTAATGGCATGGCGGTCCTCGGTCTATTACCTCTAGCCATGCGAATGGGCGGACCCAGGGAAGCTATCTGGCACGCCATCATCCGCAAGAACCACGGCGCAACCCACTTCATAGTCGGCCGCGACCACGCCGGCCCAGGCAAAAACAGCTCCGGCAAAGACTTCTATGGCCCTTACGACGCTCAGCATGCCGTCGAGAAATACCGCCAGGAACTCGGCATCGAAGTCGTCCCCTTCCAACAAATGATCTACCTCCCAGACTCAGACGAATACCGCCCGGATGACCAAGTCCCCTCCGGCGTCCGCACCCTCAACATCTCCGGTACCGAGCTCCGCTCCCGCCTCAAATCTGGCAAGGAGATCCCAGAATGGTTCTCGTACCCTGAAGTCGTCAAAGTGCTCCGCCAATCGCACCCGCCCCGATCCCGACAGGGTTTCACCGTCTTCCTCACCGGCTACCAGAACAGCGGCAAAGAAGCCATCGCGAGAGCCCTAGACGTGACACTGCACCAGCAAGGCGGCCGACCCGTCTCGCTCCTCCTAGGCGACACCGTCCGCTCGGAACTCAGCTCGGAGTTGGGCTTCAGCAAAGAAGACCGCCACAAGAACATCCAGCGCATCGCGTTCGTGGCGTCGGAGCTCACGAAGGCCGGCGCGGCTGTCATCTGTGCGCCTATAGCGCCATTTGAGGCCTCGAGGCAGAATGCACGGGAGACAGTGAGTCAGCATGGGAGTTTCTTTCTCGTGCATGTGGCTACGAGTTTGGAGTTTGCGGAGCGCACGGATAAGAGGGGTGTTTATGCGCGGGCGAGACGGGGGGAAATTAAGGGGTTCACGGGCGTGGATGATCCGTATGAGGAGCCTGGGAAGGGAGCCACCGATTTGAAGGTTGATGTGGAGAGGACGAGTGTGAGGAGCGTGGTGCATCAGATTGTGCTGATGTTGGAGAGTCAGGGGTTGCTGGACAGTTCGTAAGAGTATTTGGTGTGGATCAAGGCTAGTATGATAAAGGGGAAGTCGCACACATGAGCAGCTGCTGCTCGCGAGACCGAATGGCTTTCTGCTTTAGAACTTGATGGCCAGAATTGCGGATTTGAGATCGTAGATGATAGATCTAACTTTAATGAACTAAACCGAACCTCCTTCTTATCGAAGCTGTTCGGCTGATTGAATGCCCACCTGACCTGCGCCAATGATAGTCTTACAGATTACAAAACATTCGAATACAGAAGATCCCAAGCTATCATAGCTCGTCTTTCCTGGTCGCTTCCAATCCTTCGCTAGCTGGCCTAGGCTTTCCCTTGTCGCCTTGTTCCACGCTCCTCTCCTTCCCAATATCCTCCTCCGGGCTCGCTGTAGCCGGCTTCTCCCTTCCACCGTCCTGCGACTCGTCCTTACCCGTCGATGGTAGCCTCTCCACGTCTGGATGTGGTGGAGCATGCCCGCCTTGCCCACCTTGGTCGCCACCAGCTGGACCCTCGTCGATCTCATTGCCATCAGCGTCCACAATCCGAGTACGCGTCTCGTAGCGAGTCTGGAAAGAGACTTTGCCTTCAAGCGCAGCGACCTGTTCTTCGTTAAGCAAGTTGCCTTGCTCGTCACGATACTCAATCTTCTCTTCCTTTTTGATCTGAGCATCTTCAGGATTCGCTTTTGGCGTCATCTGCTCTTCGGGTTGCGCTTTTTGATCATGAGCTACTGAGGGTGCTTGCGTCTGTTGGGCGCTCCCGCTTGGAGCAACGATGTCATACTGATCGAGCTGGATATAATTCTTAGTATATAGAGGGCATGCATCGGTCATCTTGACTTACACTAGTGTGGAAAGTATTACAGTCAAAATCCCACGTGTCGATAAGTTTAACGCTTGAGCAAGCACTTTGTGTCCACGGATTGCCATATGAGAGGGGTGCATAAATGGTGAAAGCGACGATGCTGGCAGCTAAGAAAGCGACAGCCCCTGATCTTCCGATGATGGGGGTGTCCCGGAACCCGAATGGTCCGTCAATCCTCCTCGCTGCAAAGTCATAGATTTGGGAGACGGCCATGATAGCGAAATATAGAGCGGGCAGGTAGTGATGTAAGAAAAGTTGCCGCTGCATAAGGTAGAATGGAAAGTAGTGAAAGGCCCAGCCAAGCACAGTTGTGCCAATCTCGTAGTCGAAGCGCTTGAAGTTGACGTTGTCGTAGTCTTGGAATCCTCGTTGCCACCTGAGGACGGAAAGGCCCTTAAAGACGACATAAATTACAATACCAACTGTAGATGTCCACCAGATGACGGGATTTCCGAGGAGATAGATTTGGCGGTGGTCTTTGCCCCAGAAGTTAATACCACGACGAAGCCATGGCCACGAAGGTGGGCGAGAGTCCCAGGCATGAGACTCAACGAGCCCTGCATTAGTAGTCCACATCACCTTCTGCAATTCCCAGAACTTTCCGAAGAACCCAGGATGCTTGTAGTTGACCTTTTCGGAGTCAGAACCAAGGGAAGGATGCTCGTTCTGCTCGATATACCAAATGCTATTGGGAAGGGTGCCTTGTTTCGCGCATGTGACCTCCTGCTGATCGAAGCCCCAGTCCGGAAGCTTGACTTTGTGCGAGAAGAGCGAACAACCGGTCATGATATGCACAAGCTTGAATTTTGTTTCGATTGTTCGGACCTTCTCCTTGGCTAGAGCGCCATCTGACATCGATTTCACGATCTCTAGACGGAACAGATCGTTTGCATCGCCTTCAAAGCCTTCGTAACCATAGGCTGAGACCTCATTTTGCCAATCAGCTTCGCTGACGGGTGGCCGAACGTCGTGAGAATGAAGTCGTCGGTGTGTACTAAAGTGATATAAACGAAGCACGGTCCCATCGGTCAATGGCTTGGGATTTACGTCCCATGCATTGATGCCTTTGATTTCTTCCCCAGCGACATCTAGTGGCTGGGTTTGATTTTCCAATAGCCAGACATTGTTATCATCTTTATGTGGATAGAGAGTGATTTGCTGTTGTTTGCTCCCTCCTGGATACATAGAGTTATGGGAGTGTAAATAGCCCCCATGCGTATTGTGATGGCGAATGCTGACCCGACTACCTACCATGACATCAACAGGGACATCCTGCATAGCCTTCGAGTTGAGGGTGGCCTGGAACTCGGACGACATAAAACCATCGCCATCACCCGGGTTAACAAGACAGACAAAATGAATCGCGAACAAGGCCATATAGAATGTGAGCGGTATAATGATCAGACAGAAGATCCGAGCAAGCAGGTGTTTGAACCAAATTCGTGGAGTGACGGTCTTTGTATCGCCGAGTAAGACCCACAATTGGACAATAGTCAAACTTCCGACCCAGGCTATCGTAAAGAGTCCAACCCATTTCACGCTGACAGTTGCACCGAGTCCAAGCCCTGTGGCAACTAGCCAGAACCACCAACTTGGGTCAAAGGCTTTCGATGGTCCTTGTTCATGTTGGTTGGTGAAGCAGGTCCAAGCAAGCGCAGTAAAAGCAGTAAAAATAATGAGAGGTGAGTCAAGTAGAATAAGGCGGGATTGCGTGACTAGTCCATTCTCTGCGTTCTTTTGTCAGTGCCTGTTCAAGCCACAAAGTTGAGCGCTTACCAAATATGACCATCCCAGCGCCCATCGCAGCCGTAGTTGTTCGGCAGCCAGCTGCCTTCAGAGTCAAGAAGATAGTCGGTATGGTCAGCACACCCATAATCGCAGGTAACATCCGCATCGCCACATATGGTACGCCAGGCTCAACGTAATCTTTTCCAATGTCCTTGAAATCGAAATCTCCATCGAAGCCGGCTAACCAGCCGGCCAGGGTGAGGAGTAATTTGGCCAATGGTGGATGTACATCCATAAAGAATCTACCTTTGATATATTTCGAGGCGAAACCTCCAAAGCTTGGTCATCAGTCAGCCCACAAAAGTTCATCATTCTTACAATTGCACAACATACTGGACTTCATCGAAGACAACGCTGCTTGGTTGATAGATCCTAAAGATTCGCACCACGGCAGCAACAACTGTAAGGAGACCCAACAACTGAAAATCTGAGCTGGGAAGCATGAAGATGTCGTTGTCGGTAACGCCGTGGGAGGAATAGTCCGCGGGTTTCCCTCGTGATCCCCTAATTTGGCCATTGACTTGCTTAGAGGGTTTCTTTTCGGGCGATTGCACCTTCGATCCCATCTTTGGGGCCATTACCCTGTACGAACGTCGAATTAAGGCTCTGACAAAGTGTTGTGGTTCAACCAGTGGGGAGCTACCCCTGGCTCGGCCTTGACGAGGTGGAAAAAATGGTGGTTTTTTGCGGGTAGGAGGGCAAGAGGATCGCTTCCAACCAGGATTACCGGCACAATCAATTCCTCCACATCGTGAGGAGTTCGGCAAAGAGGCAGTTGTAGGAGAGCAGTGCTCAAGGAAGGCCACGACAGCAGAATTCCATAAATTCGAGTTAGTAGTTAGGGAGCGGCGTGGCTCCGCGCCCTAAATTTCAGCCTTATCGCACCAGTCTCGTTCACCCCCAGCTTCATCTCGATACTCAGATTTCAATCCTGCTGTTCCAAAGCGTAGCGAGACTAGCTATTGGACTATAGACGCACTTTTTCAAGACCTCATGACGGAAGAGCGGCATCTGGGAACCGTGCAGAGGTGAAGAGAACTTGCTCCTGTCAAAACTAGGGTTCTGATTCATAATGGCTCCTGCAGCCACCGACAGCCCAGCTGCCCCAGGTGTCGAGGAGATCAGACAGCCGCCTTCTGGCGTGGTGAAGCCTCCCCGAGATATTCAAGTTATCATTGAAAAGACTGCTGGCTTCGTTGCGCGAAATGGCCCGGTCTTTGAAGATCGCATTCGCGAAAAGGAAAAACATAACCCGAAGTTTTCATTCTTGAGTCCCAATGATGCGTACGCTCCGTTCTATACCTGGAGACTACAGGAAGTTCGTGAAGGCCGAGGCACTGCCATTTCAGCGGGGAGAGCTGGGGAGGCTGCTCCTGCAAAGGAGCAAGAGAGACCGAAAGGCCCCAGTCCGCCTCCGGAATTCCACTTCTCTGCGCGCATGCCGAACATTAGCGCTCAGGATCTGGAAGTCGTGAGATTGACCGCATTATTTGTGGCAAAGAATGGCAGATCATGGATGACCAACCTTGCCAATCGAGAAAGGAACTTCCAATTTGACTTCCTCAGACCTCAGCATTCCTTTCATCAATTTTTCAGCCGTTTGATAGACCAATATACTATACTTTTGCAAGCAAGTATAGAAGGGGAGAAAGCGAAAAGAGCTCGTATGTATCAGCTGGAGCAGTATTCCAACGACAGATTTGCCATTATGGACCGAGCAAAGCACCGAGCGGCATGGGTCAAATGGCAGGAGGAACAAAGGCAGAAAAAGGAGGAGGCAGCTGAGAAGGAGCAGATTGAGTATCAGCAAATTGATTGGCACGACTTCGTTATCGTCGAGACCATTCTCTTTGACGAAGCAGACGATCATGCCGAATTACCACCCCCTACATCCCTGAACGATCTCCAATCCGCCTCTCTTGAGCAAAAAGCCGCCATGTCGCTCCAGCCTCACGATCGGCGTATCGAAGAAGCAATGCCAACCTCAGACGATTACGGCCTCTACTACGGCCAGCAGCAGCAACAACAACAACAGCCGCTACAACCATCCTACAACATGCCCTTACCTACTTATGACTCCTACGACCCTCAACAACCCTCTATTCAGCCAGCTGCGATGCCACCACCTAATCTCCCTCCACCATCCTTCCAGAACCCCGACGAAGACCGCGCAATCGCCGACCGTGCTCGCGCCCGCGAACAGGCGCAGGCCGCGCAAGCCGCCGCCAAGGGTAGCACCGCGACCCCAATGCGCATAAGAGAAGACTACGTCCCCCGCGCACAAGCGAAGCGACAAGCGATCCAGACCGCCATCTGCCCGAACTGCCACCAAGCGATCCCGACCACAGAATTAGAGCAGCACATGAAGATTGAGCTCCTCGATCCGCGCTGGAAGGAGCAGCGACAGAAAGCTGAGTCTAGAGCTACGACGACGAATCTGTCCACCTCGGACGTCGCTGCTAATCTGAAACGGTTGGCGAGTCAGCGGAGCGATGTCTTTGATCCCGTGTCCGGACAGCCGATCACGCCGGAAGAGGAGGCGAGGAGGAAGAGGGCCGCGATGAGTGGGTATGACGGGCAGGTGGATACGAGTATGGGGAGCGCGAACGCGGCGGCGAAGAAAGCGATGGCTGCTGCCGAGGCGGAGAGGGAGAAGGAACGGGAGGGTAGGGAGAGAGGGAAAGGAGCGAGTCTTGAAGAGCAGCTTCGGTTGATACACCAGATGGCCAAGGGGTAGGCCGATATCACAGCTAGGCAGCTTCATCGTTTGAGTTATTCTACATGGTCGGGCTTGTAATAATTGCGTGGCATGACGAATCGGATCTACCACTAGTATCATATCTTTGCATTATCTAATGTGCCATGCTATTCATATTTCAGTACCTTTCGTACATGTATACCTGCAGGATCGCTGTCATCAAACCGTATGCTTATGCTTTTCCCCTTATATCTTACAACCCCCGAACTCCGTCATATATACTCTCGTACCTCATTACTCCAGCCTTCTCCCTTCACTATCACTCAAAGGCGCCCGGTACAGAACCACTGCTATCTGCTTTTCTTGGACTGGGTGATCTGTTCCTCATCGAGGCTTGCAAAGAAGCGTGCAGCTGGTTCGAAGGCCCATCTTGAGAAGCCGACCTCTCGAACATTGCAGCTCGTTTTGCAATGGAATTGATGACGTTGCCGGAGCCAGGAGCTTCAGCACGGCTTGAACCTCGACTACGTGTCGTCGTTCGCGATAGGGACGTTCTGTCAAGCTTCACGTCCGGACCAGCGTCTTTGTCTGCCACAGCAGACCTGTCTTCCATTGAGAGACTGGATGAAGCTGGAGGATCTGGACCTGACCGCGCCGTCAGCTGTGAATCACTCCTCGCCCTTAAAATTGTGGAAGGTGATTGCGACCTCGGAACGTGGTTAGGTGGTGAGAATACATGTGCTTCTAGCTTTGGAGGAGGAGTCGGAGGCCTTTCTTGACCTACTTCCTTTTTGATTGATGGCTGCATATCATGCATGTCCTGGTTGCCGTGGCGCGTCTGGGCCTCTGATGAGGCTTGTGCCGATTTCACGTCTTCTATGGAGAGCCGAGGAGACTCAGGTCTTCCTCGAAGAAAAGCAGGTATAACGCCACCACCAATTCTTGACCAGAACATTCTTTCTCTCAAGCGAACGCTCTCTTCCCATGCCATAGCTTCAGCTTGTGGACCGTCCGTTCTCCAATGTCCGTCCTTCACCATCCTAAGGAAGCCTATCAAGTCACAGGTGGATCTGACACGATTAAGGCAGTAGTCGCAAAGAGGATACCTTTGTGCTGTCTCGCTCTCGTTCAGTCGGAATCGATGGGTTCTTACGCGTTGCTCATTCCGACCTTGCTCTCCACACAATGAACATGGGTTATGGTGCCCCTTCGCTGCTACGGGCATTGGTTCTACGACGAGCCTCCCTTCGCACATGCTGCTTACGACGCTTCGACGAGCTAGCCAAGAAAGACCCGGCGCTGTGTCGAGTCGCATCGTCGGCTCAATATCTTCTACAAGCACTCGTTTGTAAAACGCCGTTTCTTTCAGCGGTGTGCCACTAGTGGGACCGTCGCGTGATGATACGCTCGTGGTGGCAGAGGGTGCCAGATTTGGTGTGCTTGGAGACGAGTGGAGGGTGTTCGAGGTAGTGAGAGAAGAAGTTGAACCATTCGAAGGCATCCGGTTCGAGAGCTGAGATGAATCCCCTTTGCTGAGGTTAGTAATACCGAGGCCAGAAGATCCATTGTAATTGCCGCTTGTGACGCGACTTGGAGGTCCAGATCGTCGCGATACATCCAGTAAAAAGTGGAAGTCTTCAAAAGCCTGAACATCTGTTCTCAAAACCGGGCTGATTAGATGTGTGAAGTGGGTCGGCGGGGCAGGCGGTATGTCATCCCCCCCAGGCGTCGTTGGAGACAGATGTAAAGCGTCGAAAATCCTGCTGATGTGTTCTTGCGAGTCGAGAGCAGGAGTAGATGGAGCTGTAGAGAGACTATTCACCGTTTCCAGCTCGTTCCGATGAGCCGACATATCTTGCATCGCGTGTTTGAGCTCAGCAAGCTGTTCCTGATGCGAGCTGAGGAGCAGTTCGGCATCATTAAGCTGGGCTTGGAGTTGCTCGTTGCGTTTTTCGATTCCCTCTCGATCTCTCTTCGCATCTCTTTTGGCTGCTGAAACCATCTGAAAAATGTTAACATGGGCCTTGTGTAATGCTACCATCGTCCTTACCTTATTAGCTTCTTCGAACAATTCTGTTGTCAGTGTTTCTAACTCCTGCTCTATTGCTGCCTTATCCTTGGCTACTTGCGCTCGTTGCTTTCTCTCGTCTGCTAAACTCACACGAAGTCTCAATGTGTCTTGCTCTACGTCCTCCCATTTTACCAAAATCCGATTGTCGATCAGGGACCTGTGCTCTTGCTCCTGCTGTTCTAATTGCCATACTCGTTCTTGAGCTGCTTCCAGTTGTTGTCTTGTCTCGCTCAGCGTATCGTCTAGATCAGTCTGGTGATTTATGGCATGTATCAGCTTGTTGCTGAGCGCAGCGACCTCATTACTGAGCTCAGGATGGTGTGGAGAAGTGGAGCCGCTTCGAGATATGTCCGGTGGAGTCAATGGAGTTCTGGGGTCTGGCAGGGTGCTGAGGGTTTCGGCGGAAGGCGGTTGAGGTGATGGAAGCGAGGTGGCTATGGTAGTCATTTTGAATGTGAATTGCGAGCCAGCGGTTGGAACAAGTTATCCTATCATCATACACGTTCCGAATCCAGTCGGAAAAGTAGAAACGATTTTCGAAATGATAAGCTGCTACAGCCTGCTGCGAATGGAGTTTGCTCCAGACCGGGTGGTACTAGTATTGAAAGCCGTCGACAGCCACTAGTATGCTGACACAGCAGGTCGAATAGCAGAGCTAGTAACCATCGACACTCCTTTATAAATTGACACGGATCACTGGGATCTAAAGCTTGCGCCGATAGAGCGGACTGGCTATGTCGTGCTTCGCGGGGTGATCGGATGCGTTGGATGTTTGGAGTCCGTCACAGGTTTGTTGCGGCATTGGATCCGTACGTAGAGAGCAATAGACTTCATGCAAACACTGGCCGATAGTGGAAGATAGAGTAAAAAGATGGTGAATGATGACAATAAAATGATGGCAGTGAGAGAACTAGCGTAGACGTATTAAGTTAATATCTCATGGCAAATAGCAAATGGGCGTCGACAACGGCGCGCAGGCAAATCGGCAAATCTTTCCTCGAACGGCGACCGTCTCGGATATAGCTTCAGATTTAACCCCGGACCGATGCTTGCTGAGTAAGCAAGCCTGCCTGCCTTCGAGACCCGCGTCAAGTATGGGCCCCGCTGCTGCAAATGCAGAACACTGTGTTCGTTGGCCATGATTGAAAAGCACATAAATCCTTCCCGCAGACAGATCTACAGCGCTCTGTCACGATGTCGGATGCGGATTTAGAGGAGGTAATGCAGTTGGACTAAGATCCCCTGAGCCTGTGCTAACACAGCAAGACAGATTCGGAAAGGTCGCCTCGCGCAGCTCCAGCAACAGCAAGGCCAGAACTCGTCAGGTAGTGGCTCACAGGAGGAAGACCGGAAGTAAGATTTGGATAATCATTTTTCATGGTTGCTATTTCGTCATATCGTCTAATTGTTTTACAGGCAGCAAGAACAGGAGGCACGTCAGTCCATCCTATCACAGATTCTGACCCCAGAGGCGTCAGATCGCCTGGGTCGTATCCGGTTGGTAAAGGAGTCTCGTGCCACAGATGTGGAGAACAGGCTCATCATGCTCGCAAGAAGTGGGCAGCTAAGGAGCAAGGTCACAGAAGACCAGCTCAAGGAAATTCTTGGTGCAATGTCTGAGAATGAAGAGAAGGGTGGTAACAGTGGCGGGGGAAGAATCGTGATCAATCGCAGAAAAGACTTCGACGACGATGATGATGACTTACTAGACCTTTGAGGACTCGAGTGACTGCATACATCGACCATGGAAAGAAATACAGAGCACAACAAGATGAAACACCAATACGTACGTGTTTAGCAATCAAGGCGCTACCGAAAGCTCTCGGTGTTTAGGCGTAAGCTATGACACAAGAGTCAGGGTACGCGCGTCCGACAAGCATAAATTTGAGGAGCATCTTGACCCGAGGGGTCTTGTGAGTGTTTATTCTAACGACGCCGAATACTTGAAATTCTCATACTCTTCAATTGGCTGTGAACTTCTCCATGTTTTGGTGTAACTCCGTTGCAGTTGTTCGCACCTGTTTGAGAAGTTTTCTGGTCTCCCTCAAGTCAGGCGGTGTCTCAATCCCTAGCTCTTCCCTTAGCTCGTCCACATCCCTTTCGAGCTGCTCTTCCCAATAAACATTAATGATGTCCCTACTCTTCAATCCATTACTCATCGCCCACGGCAAGTATGTATTCCAGAATCTACTCCGTTGCTTCGGCTTCATCCGCATCACCGCAAAAATACTCAGGCCAGTCATTGGCAGCAAAGTATTCGCAAATTCGAACGCCTTCAAGGCGACTTCGCCTTCGACGTACACGGGAAGGCCAGTCAATGCATGGTAGAAGTCATGAGACTCCCGGTATCTTTGCATTACATACGCACATTCCTCTTCGTCAACATAACGGACGGCATTTCTAGTATCCGGACTTACGCCTTCGCGATCCAGCCATTCAACATAGGTTCGTCCCACAGTGTTCTCCGGCAAAGCTCTTAATTTGGCCACGGTCATACTTTGGGATGTGATGCGCGGTCGATCTCGCAATATACGTCGCCCCGTAGAATCGGATAGCATGGCATCTCGAAGACGGTAGATAAAGTACGGCGATGCAGTAGCTTCACCGAGGGCAGCTATGAGGTCTTTTTTCAATCAGTTCAGACACGTTGCGTTATTTGAAGAGGCTTGCCAGCTCGTCTTGGATTTTGCAGTGACATAAAAGCAGAACCCACCGCAAGGACACTACTTTCGACGAGGTTGAGAGGGACATGGCCTTCATAGTTTGGAGGTGGACGATTGAGGACGGAGAAGGAACAAGACTGTGTAGTGATGTAGCATTTAGAGCTACGAAGTAGATTTAGAAATCTAAATCTTATGTGAATCGCCTTGTTCATAGCGATTTCTGGCACAGTTCCCCTACGACGATTCGTGGCGAGATACTTCACCTTAGGTTAGGTAAGGTTAGGTACCGCGTCTAAAAATAAGGTTTGACAGCATTCCCTGAACCCTTCTAGATCTCGCTTACAACTTCCTACTCAAATTACTGAACATGCAAAGGTCGAAGCTCCGAAATATTGTGATAAATAGCCATGGCCTGATGTAGCTTCTGCGTATCCTCTAAGAAATCATCCGGACGTATGCTGCGGGCCCTGAGATGGCTGGTGTGGTGCGGCCCAATAACCAGCTTGATCAATTCCTCACCTGGGCGAAGGATCGTGGCATCACTTTCAACAATAAGGTCCGCCCAGCCCAGGTGGATGGCATCGGTGTCACCATGGTGGCGGACTCTGCCCTCAAGGTCTGCAACATCTGAATGTTTGGCTACTGCATTTCATCTTGGCTGAATTCTGGAAGGCCGATGAGGAGATCGTTCAAGTCCCTTCAGGTGCATTATTGAGGTTCCAGTCGATTCCCTATGCTTTCCGTCGAAAACACGGGCGCATAAGCGTTCATGGTCTTATCGCTTCATTTTTGGCTTTTGGTGGATCTGAGGTCGAGAAGTATGGTCTCTGGAAAGCCACGTGGCCGTCAAAGCAGGCAATGAAGGACTGCATGCCGATCTTGTGGTCAGAAGATCACTGGACAGCAGAAGCTTGCCAGCTACTGCCACCATCTATCAAGTATCGGAAGCGTCTAGGTCGAGCTATTAGCTCCCCTGACACCAATGCACAAAACTTGCTTGATCACCAAGAGACTAAGCTGCAGAAAGATTGGGAGGTCGTAAAACGTGCGATTCCAGAGGCACTGTATGATGAGTATGCTCACAATTGGCTTATGGTAAATACACGAAGCTTTTACTTCCAACCGGGTGACATGTCATCCAAAAGAAGATCTCGATCGTCGGATGATTGCATGGTTCTATGTCCTTTCATCGATTTTTTCAATCACCAAGACCACGGTGTAGGTGATTTCCATCATGCATTTCATGCTTAGGTCTGATGGGCAGTGTTCTGTGAGCTTCGATGCGGGAAGCTTTTCCGTCACCACGAGAGAGCCATATAGTCAGCCTTTTCTACGATTCTCCATAACTCACAAGATTTGACATGAGTAGGTCCCAGCAACCAGATCTTCACTTCCTATGGGGCGCACTCAAATGACTTCCTTCTCGTTGAGTGTCCGCGCTACCTCTCCCTCACACTTCAGGCCATTAAGGTAACATAAGATACAGACGGCTTCATCCTAGACAGAAACAAATGGGATTTACTGTTTCTGGACCACGTTGTTGGATCGATCCTCACCTCCACAGATGTGAGGAGTCGTTTAGCAAATGTAGGATATCTAGGGTGGGATGATACGCAATCACTCCGCCCATGCCCTAGCTAATCAAACCTCTAGCAACTATACACTCAACAGCGAAGGTGTCTGCCATCGCACTCACGTCGCTGTGAGGATTCAAACTCTGGGCCAAGACCAATGGGAGGATTATGTCGCCGGTCGGCTCTTGGAAACCGAGCAACAAGAGATTGAAGCTGAGACCTTCCTTGTCAAAACCATATTGAAGACATACTTCGAGGAAGCAAAGAATGCTATAAGAATCCTAGAGACAAGTAAGGATTATGGTCGGTCAGCTCAGTGGGAGCTCGTATTTAAGCGTTGGAAACAAATTAAAGAGCTGATCGTTCAAGCCTTTTCGAATGGCATCAGTGAGAAGGTGCAAGCACAAGTGTTTCAGACATTCGACCTTCTGCGATGAATTGCTTCTTGTATCATGATGTGGGTCGTATAGTAGATCGAGCATTGTCCTACTATAGATAGAGGAATTACCCACTAGGTGGCGTTTCATGCATCAATAGTCAAAAATAGCACGAAGTTTGCACCAATGAAACGATTTATTGCGTAAGTACATTCGATATCCACTGTCACGTTACTCTAGGAAATGAGCTCGAACATGTATGACTAGCTCCTGCAGGTGGACTCAAAATTTAGCTACCGAGCCAAAGGGAAGTAATCCTTCTTTTTCCTTATTGACTAGAACGCCTCGAGCTTTGATGAGTTGCACGAGCATATAATTCACGACGCAATGGATTCCTAGCTGCTCGCCTCGTTTCACAATATAGCCGTTGATGTAATCAATCTCTGTCTGTCCCTGTGCCCATACGTCCTGCAACATAGAGCTTTCATTAACAGCAGTCAACTCAGCTACACTCCACACGAGACGTTCAAGTCTCCGAGGATCAAAGCGCATCTTCACGTTGACAACATTCTGAAGCTCTGGTAGGGACCTGATGACAAGACTAACTTCCGCCAGCAAAAGCCTAATCACTCGCTTGAGGAAGAAATTATGATCAATGTTTCCGTTCTTTATATCGAGAATGGCGGTGATTGGGTTTATAACAGCATTGATCGCCAACTTGTCGAGCTGCTGTTGCAAGAGTTCAGTAGGCGCAAATCCAACAGCTACCAAGACAGGAACTCGAACCATGGTTCGTAGTAAGTAGCGGGATGAGTCGGGTGCATCGATCAGCGGTCTCGCCGATCCAGTACCTGGCAGAATGCCTAGAGCGATGGTACCTGCTCCAGCGTGGACCACATCGAACGCATTTCGTTGCTTTAAACCGTGTGAGTTAACTCCTATCATATACTGCGGCCGGGTCTCTGGGTCAGGAAAGCAGATCTCATTGACCTCGTCAATTACGCCTATGCCATTCTGTAGGAAGAGGATAGTAGACTCTGTAGTAAGCCTATGAGCGAACGGTTTCAGGGCCTTTGCTGTCGCATACGCTTTGGTAGTCACTATAAGATTATGGATATGCGATTCATGAACTCCTAGTGATTCTTCTCCACTCTCATGATCCATTTTATCCGATGGATTCGCTTCCATGTGTTCGCTATCTTCTTCAGGGCCAACGCTGGGCAATTGTCTTTTTTTTGAAAAGGTTTTATGATCCGGTGAATCGCTTTCATCACTTTCGGCGCCATCTGCGATTGCCTCTTCATTAGTTGCGATAGCATCCTCGTGCCCAAGCAAGGAAGCCTTTTCACGGCGGCTGGTCTTCGACTTTTTTGTGCTATTGTGTTGGTTTCCATGGAGTTTAACCTCAACATCAAATCCTTTTCTACTCTCCGTCATACCTTCAGTCGTAAGTTTCAGAGCACCATGCATACCCTCCAGCACTCTAGCTCCTTGCGAGCCCTTCAGTAGCAATGTAATTGGCGGCCGGTTTGGTACTCCTGCTAGTGAATGGGCGATGAAAGTACCCACATTCCCTAACCCCAATATATGTATTCTCCGTGGAGCCTCAGATATATCCTGAGGCGAACGTGAATCGCTCTCTTGCCATCCTTTATCTTCCCATGATCGAGTCGTCTTCGACGTAGAAAAGCTGTATGAGACTGGCCCCCGGCCCACCGTCGCGTTACCGACATGACATAGCAGAAGTCGCCTTCCTGTCCAAGCCAGGGGCCGGGAAATCCGTGGTGTACAGATACACGGAGACAGGATGAACGATGCTTATCAGTGCTGCATTTCCACTCATCCAGCTTTCAGAGCATGACGACAGGGATTTGTTAGAAAAGCTAGTTATGAGCACGCGGCAGCGTTGAAGCCCGTGTATGGGATCCAAGTGATCAATCACTGTCTAGGCGTCATAAACCGCAACATAAGTCAGCTTAGAATTATTAACTTGATGTGATTGGGTACGCCGTCCTAGAGGCCAAGACTAAATTTTGCGTTTGAAAATACGCATTAAACCCTTCTAGGTATTTTACTTACAAGATAACAAAATAAAAAAGGGAATAAAAAAACATTTTCTTAAAGCTAAGTTTAATTTTTAGAATATTAAAGAAATAAATAAATAAATTATATTAAAGTTTTATTATAATTAAAGTTAAGTAAAATAAAAGTAAAATAAATTATTTTAATTAAACTTAACTTAGCTTTACTTAACTTAGTATAAAGCCTTACTTTTATTATAGCTTCTTAAATAGTTTTTAATTAACTTATTATTATTTAATTATATTATATATATTATTTATTAAGGTTTATATATAATATATTTTCTTATATATTTAAATAATATTATATATAATATATAATAAATTAAATTTATTTTTATAAAGTATATTTAATATATTTTTATTTAAATTATTAAAAGAAATATAATTAAGATTATAAGATATATATATATAAAGATTAAATCTATTATTACTAATAATTTTAGAATTCCAACTAATTTAATTAATAGGTTTAGTCTGCGGTAGCTATTCCTAGAAAGGTTCGCGGCACACACGTATTCCCGCATGACTTTTGATCGGGTCGGTGTACGACATAATCAAGCAATCAATTAATTAAGGTAATTAAATTTATAGGAGCACGCTTGTCAATAATGATCCATAGCAAATGCTAGAGTGACAACTTCAATTATGGACAGCGAGGGCGTCACTGCCGCTATAGAGTCCCTTGATTATAACATCGGCGAGCTTCGAGAGGTTCTGGCTCCCATACTCGACAGCCCGCTCTCTGAGACCGCAGGAAGGCTTCCTATCCTAGACAAGGCGCAATTATTTGTTCTGTGGGCTTACGCCCTTGAATCCATAACATTCTGTACGCATATAGCAACCTGTAGCAGTCTCATTACTAATAACCAGCCTATTTACGATTGAATGGAATCGATGCAAAGGAGCATCCTATTTTTACTGAATTGACAAGAGTCAAGCAATATTTTGGCAAGATTCAAGGCGCTGTGTCAAGCACAAGCACGTCTAAGCCTAACATGCAGCTCGACAAGGCTGCCGCTGACCGAATTATTAAGCATGCTTTGGTGAGTGTCTTCGTCATGTGAAAATTGCATGTTTTGATATGCCAGGCCCACAATCGCGGTGATGCTCAGGGTGGAACAACCGGACCATTCCAGGCTAGCGAAGAGGCTCAGACGAAGACGGAAGCAAAGTCATCCATGAAAAGAGATCGTTTCGATAGCTTTGCCTCGAACGGTCAAGAGAGGCAGGGAAGCGTGAGTGGCAATGGCCTCAAGGGCAACAGAAAGGAGTCAAAGAAAGGGAAGCGCCGGTGAAAATGTTCATGGAAGCGGCCTTTCGATGATCCTTCGTGATTCGATGTCAATGATGTCCCGAGAACTACCACTGCTTGAAACCTGTCACCAGCGTAACTGATAGGCAGATTGAGCCAAGCAACAAGCAGGAGTGATAGAAATCGTATGTATTCAATAGACGTGGCTCTTGAGTTAGTCTCAGGCTAAATTGTACAGAATCAGCAAGTCCAATTCAATGATATATCGAACCTGCGGTTGGCTTTTCCGGTGCAATCGGGTCACAATGGATTTCTGGGTTTGCAAAGAACAATTCTTTGGCTTTTCTGTGAAGCGCGACAGTCATTTGTACCCATTAGTAGCGGTACGCCGTGTATTGTGAGGCTTCTCGTCTTTAGCATGAGAAGTCCGAATTCGCTCACTCGCTACCCGGCGTTTGACTTCACCAACAACCACTCTCCAAGAGCCCTGTCCGTACCAAGATGATGTATGCGGCGTTTGTAAATTGAGGTTTGCCATGTTTTACCCTGGTGACTTACGTTCTGGCATCGCCCTTGCCTTGCAAGAAGCGAAGCCGGTCGCATGTTTTGTTGTAGATCAGAGCCCCGAAAGTGCTGCGTGGCAATCTAGTCATCTCGTGGATGAACAAGTGACAAGAGCGCTCAATGCGAAGGCGATAACCTTACGCATAGAGGCAGCCTCCGAGGAGGCTGGGTTTCTCTCAGCATACCATCCTTTGACTGTTACACCCTCTTTAATCATCATTCAGTCTGTATTCATGCCGTACTGCATCGAGCTTTGAATTTAACGGAGAACAGTAACGGACATCTTCTCCTAGAGCTTCGCGCTGGTACTCCGCAGCATGAATTCAAAGCCGCCATCCTCAGGGCACTGAGCTCTACGCCATCGGCAACAAACCCCATCAGCATCTCACAGACCTCTTCGCAAGACCTGAGTCGTGATGAGCGTCTCTCCGAGTCTACATCTCCCGAAGAACAGATCAATACACCGCTGAACAGCCCTGCCGACTCAGTTTCGGCTATTACTAGTACCTCTAGTCACACGCGCGCGCAGAATTCAAACGCTACAGCAAGCGACGCAACCCCAAGCGCTGCCATCTCATCGAGTGATGTACAACAAGGCTCTGTCGTTGAACGACTTCTATCAGAGCGTCGTAGCAAGCTGGAAAAGAAGAAAGAGGAGAATGATGCAGCACTCAAAGCTGAGCGGAAGGCTAAAGCAAAAGAACGAGCCGCGACGTTGGGCGTGGATCCCAAAACTCTCGATAGTAAACAGGCCCAGTATGCTCAGCAGCGACGACAACGTGAAACCGAAGCAAGGGCTGAGCGAGAGAGGGTCCTTCGTTTGATTGAGCACGATAAAGCAGAGAGGAAGGAGAGAGAAGAACAAAGGAAACGCACAGCCATTGTTGAAACTGCAAACCATTCGGGCACTGATAGGCAAGAGCATGGACAGCCTCCTATACTGGATCCAGCGCAACAGCGGATTCTTAAACACAGATCTTCGATGAGCTCGAGCGACTGCTCTCTGCAGATTCGATTGATGGATGGAAGCTCAATTCGATCTAGGTTTCTTAGTACTGATACGCTTGGCTCAAATGTCAAACCATGGATAGACCGACAAAGGTCTGATGGAGGCACCCCTTATTCATTGAAGCAAATCCTGAGTCCAGCGCCAAATCGTACGCTGTCAATCACAGAGGAACGCAACACTCTGCAAGAGCTCGGTCTCCTACCTACGTGTACCCTAGTTCTTGTTCCTATTCACGGTTATACCACTGTCTACAATCAGAACAATGGCATTGTCTCTAAAGGACTATCCACGTGCTACAACGGCATATCCGCAGTAGTCAAGCTCATCATGACGGTCTTGCTCGCGCTCTTGGAAATACTTCATCTGAAGCCTTCACGACGTACTATGCACGAGAACGAGCAAGATGCACAACATCATAATCTTAAGAAACCTACGCCAGGGACGACTTCGGGCATCAAGATTCACGGACTGCGTGACCAGCGCGATAGAGACGAAAAACAGTACTATAATGGGAATCAGGTGAGTCTCAAAGCGCCCGGTTTCAGTTGAAACTAAATATTGTAGCTAAATTTCGAGCCTCGAGAGGATGACGATGAGAAGAAGTAGGCTACAATAAACAGGTGACTTCGAATGTTGGATCATCGCTAAGACTCTGTGTTAACAATGAAACACTTGTGTTGATGAAGTTGTAAGATGAAGGCCCTTTACCACGGTAGAATCGGGCCTGACGAGAGGAAAAACACCAGCAGGCGGCGAATGATAGACGGTCAATAGAAATGACGAACGCCCATGAATTGAGTGGAGTAAGAGTATGCACTCAACAATTTATGTGAAATGTCCTACAACTTGCAATCTCTCTCTCGCGTATATGAATGCTGATGCTCGCTTGGATGCTTTGCATAGTCCCTAGCACCTGGCCAATGATCATGCCGGCCTATTTGGTCTAATGCTGGCTCGCAGCCGCCTGACAAGCTTTCTATTTCTGTATCAGCTTTACCCTCTTCAGAGGTGGCTGCACTATCAGAGCAACGTACCAACTGCTCTAAGTACCAGCCGCAAATCTGCATATTCCCACTCTGCTCATCTAAGCATTTGGTGAATTGTTTGGCATCAGCATCACAGCTTCGCGGGCCATATGCGCTGCTTTGGTATGTCGACGAGTCGTTTAGGGGGGCTAGCGAATCCTCGACTGGTCTTTCTTCCGTGGTGGAGCTGCCGCCACCAAACCAGCCTCCAACCGCGTGACCGATTGAAGAGCCAACAGCTACACCACTAATAAAGATTCAGTCTCGATACCAGAAGTAAAGGGTATACCGTGTCTGGAGTAGGTCCAGCGCAAGGGGAGTGGCTACAATGCACACGCCAAGACTCACGCTGCTGTAGACGCCATCTGCCCGAATAGGCCAGGCTGTTTACCTTGCTGCTGCTGGCCAGCAGGCGGCTGGGCGCCAGCTGGGCGGCCAACAGCAGTACTAGCACCACGAGATTGCTGCTGGGATGGTGTGGCTGCAGGACGTTGAGGGGCTGTAGAAGGTCGGGATGGAGCTCGTGAAGAGCCCCGGCTTCCGCCTCCACTGCGTCTGGGCATAGTGTATCTTACTTAACTTGGGACTGTTGTGCGCGTGGAATTGAATCTGTGAATAGTATGTCTGAGCAAAGGATATGACAAGTTACGGAAAACTCTATGAACAACGAGAGAATTTGGATAGGAACGTAGGTACAGGTACGCTAACATAATGAGAGCAAGCTAAGGTATCTAGGTGCGGCTTTGCGGGTATCGATTTGTGCCAAGATAATTTAAGAGGGGCCTTTTCTCTCACAGGCAAATGCAGAGCCTCAAGTTACGATTCGGCCATGCCGGCGATCAGGTCGATAACACTGTTGATTCCGCCTACATCTATGTCACCATCGCGCAGATGCTTTCTACAATCACATCGCTGGCCAATTAATGGGCAACCAAATAGACTTAGGCAACGCCGCCTTAACAATCTCGCCGATGATCCAACATTCACCTCCCTCATAGACAATCCCCCGCAGCTTGTGAGAGCTGGACATGATAGAAGGAGACCTTTCTTATTCTTTTTATGTGCATAATACTCAGTCCTCACCTGATGATCGATCTGACATTGAAGCAGTGCTAATCCCTGTCACCGCGTTCGCCTTGGGAACCTGGCAAATCTTCAGGCTTCGATGGAAGACAGATATGATTACGAAGTATGAAGATCGTATTCTCAAGCCACCGCTACCGCTCCCACCTCGAATCGACCCATCAGCTATCTCAGAGTTCAATTATCGACGGGTTTATGCTACTGGCATTCTGAGGTATGATCAGGAAATGCTGATTGGCCCACGAATCCACGATGGACGAAATGGATTCTATGTAGTCACGCCACTAGAACGTGGGGATGGTGCCTCCAAGGTGCTTGTGAACAGAGGATGGATTCCTAAGAAGTTTGAGAACCAGCGGCACAGAAAAGTGGGATTACCAACCGGGCGAGTCACTGTCCAAGGTCTGTTGAGAGAGCCATGGAAGAAGAACTTGTTTACTCCTGACAACAAGCCGGAGGATGGAGCATTCTACTTTCCTGACGTTCACCAAATGGCCGACTTCTCTGGCAGCGACCGTGTCTGGATTGAAGAGACAATGGGTGAAGGCCGTTCAAGATTCTGCTTTGTAGCAGCTTGCTAACAACTTCCACAGAGCAAGATCTTATAAAAGCGATGGATCGAGAAGCTGTCGGTATCCCCATTGGACGAGCAGCTGCGGTTAATTTGCGGAACAATCATACACAGTATATATTCACCTGGTGAGTAGTCCCTGGTATTCATACTCTTATAATGCTTCGTCCAGCTTAAGCGCCGAGTCTCGAGTTTGCTTTGTACTGACTCTTGCCCTACAGGTATGCTTTATCAGCTGCAACATCCGTTATGTTCTGGATGCTTGTCAAAAAGCCGCCACCAGACATTGCCAGACGAGTTCGACAAAGCAAAGAGTGGTCTTGACTACCGGTCAGAGATCGTCTTCTTCCAATTCACGCGTTTCTCTTGATGGCCTCCGCTGTCGCTTCTTCCATTGCGGCAAGGCTACTGGGAGTTGGACGCGCAGGTCATGAAGCACTTCACTTGGCAGAGCCTTCTCTGCGAGCGAAAAGGTCGTTGATGCTGCATTCACACGCCGCTGCCTATTGGTCAAGGTCAGCCTTTTCCTAGGAGACAGACAACACGAATTTGAACAGAAATAACCTTTTCATGACCGCAATTATATCTGCGTCATCAATGACCTTCCTACCGGCGTGCTGAGTGAATATTCCAAGATCACCGCTCAGCTGTGAGAGGAATGCATTGCCTGCCTCTCGTATTGCGAATAGCGTTTCCTTGCTGAGGCTACGCCTTCGTCCGGTCGACGATCGAGCAAAAGTTGCCGCAATACCTTTGGTTATCGCGTGAGGAAAAGCTTTGTACGGTATTCCATATTGCGAAAGTCTGGGTGCTTTCGGCGTTCGAACCTTGAGCGGAGCACGCCGCTCAACACGGTTAAGCTTTGCAACGGGCGAAGAATACAGTCTTGATTGAAGTTCGTCATCATCGAACGAGTGATCTGTGCCACCAGTTTGCACGGGAACGTCATCATCTCGAGGGCGAGACGGTTCTAGAAATGCCATGCTTTCTCTAGGCTCATAATTTGGGATATTCAGAACAAAGGGCGAGAATTCGTCTTGACGCTCGTCTTGCTCGTCAAGATTCCCAACAGCCACACGCCCTTCCGAATGCTGAAATTTGCCCAGCATCATCCTGCGGAGGTCTTCGGTGCCACCACTGCTCAAAGTCAGCTCGTTCGTACATTTTGCAGAAGGATCCACCGACTCAAAATTCTCCAGGCCGACTGGGCCCGAGAGCTCGTCGAGATCTTGATCTTGATCTGGATATTGGGTTTCAATGCTTTCATCCAGCCTATTTCCATGGGCTTTTGCAAAACGATCACTAAGACGAGAGTTTCTAAAACTTCCTCTCGACAGTCGCCTGTGCCTAGAATCTCCTCGTGGGACGTCAATTGTCTGATCTGTAAGATTTTCATCTTCCAGTGGCATTGAGAACCTAGGTGGTGCTGCGTCAAAGCTATCCTCATTATCACCACCCCTGTCGATTGGCAGGGACAATGTAGGTTGCTCTGGGCTAAGCTCATCTTCCCAGATAGCATCTCTTCGGAGCTCAGCACTACCACCATCAGAAGTGGTGGACTCTCGAGTGGGTTTCGACGTATGCAGGGGTGCTGCCAGAGCTTTTTTCGGTTAGTAAAAGGCTCGTCCATTTTGCAATCTGCTACATACCTCTACTCAAGTTTCGCAAGATGTCTCGGGGCGTTTCTCGCTGGAACCTGCCGCTCTTTCTCTTGGCAAACGCTGGGGTAGCACGCCGTTGCTGAAGCGCTTTGATAGCATGCGGTGTGGTAGGATTGCTGCGATTTCCTGAAACAGGTTGTAGTGGCAGTCGCTTGCTTGATGTAGCTTGTGTCTCGTGCTGCGGTGTCTCAGAGGGTCTACGCATCTGGGATGTGGGAGCTCTGGAACTTGATCTGCGTCTTATTGGCGTCGACGGACGGCGTATTAGACCTGCAAGCTGGCGTAGCTAGATAAACAATAATTCAGCGTAACACGAAATATCGCCTGATTGGGCCTCACGTTCGCGTAAGGTGTGGTTTTGACAGTAGAGCTAGCTTCTGCAATCAAGGATTCTCGAGGTGTCGTCCTGTTTACCCTCACCGGCCTCACTGGGGCGGCAAGCTCGTCCAGAATATTAGCATTGGCGGCATCATCACCGCTCTGAAAATTGTTGTTCATAATGTAACTCATTTACGACGAAGTCAGGACCGACTCCGTGTACGACTCCTTCATGTAAGGGACATAGCCGGTGGTACCTCGATAGAAAAGGTAAACAAAGTTATCCAAGATAAGATAAGATAGCGGAAGATAAGTATAGGCAACTAAAGGCTTAAGTCTAGTTCACTAAAACGTTTACTAAGACCTTAGCTAGTTAACAACCTAGCTAAGATAGCTATAAGCTAGATAAGTAATAATAAGCTACTTAGATTTATTATATCTTATAACTTATTAATTAATAAAAAATTAAGAAAAAATAAGAAAAAGATTTCTTAAAAAATATTTAATAATTTATATTAATTTATAAAAATAATATAAAATTTATTATAATAAATAAATTAATAATAAGAAATAAAGATTTTAATTTCTAATAATATATATTATAATAAATAAATTATAAAGAAATTAACTTATATTAATTTATTTAAAAAATAAACTTTTAGTATTAATTTTAGTTATTAAGTCGTTATTTAAATATACTCTATTAATTATAAAGTATCTTGTCTATGTAGATAGTACCTAGCATAGAACTAGCCTTAGGGCTGAAACGGCGTAGGATAAAGTAAATCCACCAAAACCTCTCGAAAGCTACGTCAAGGCAGGGTTGACAAGTTTCTATAATCATAGTATGTCGAATTCGGACGTTACACCGCATACTCTCTTTTCGGAAACTGCGCCGATACCCAGGAAGCGCAAGATACAGGATCACGGACGTACATCAAGTGCTGCCTCCAAGAAGCCGAAACCCAGTCGCAACAAGCCCATCAAAGACGAAGATCTCGATGTATCATTGAACCTCAATTACGCCATTGGACGTATGAATCAGGAAATGTTAGCTGCTCATTTGATGGAGCGGACTGTAGACTTTGCGCCGAATTTAAGCAGCGTTGAATTGCTGGACCGTCGTATCCCAGGTATCGGCTCGCATACGATTTGGAATTTCAGTGCGACGTTTCGTGTGCTGATATTTGTGCAGACCATGCCTTTGTAGACACGAGCCAGTGGAAGCCGTCGCGCACGCTTGGAGGTCTTCCGTCTTACCTTGACAACTTTTGTTTCAAAAAGGAAGATAGAAGACGTTTGTCAAATGCTCCGGCTACCACGGGTTCCCCTCACACGGTAAGCAATCCAACAAAGGATGGGTCGCAGATTTCGCTTGCATTTGATATCGTTCTTTTTTGGACGAATGATCATTGTTCTTTCCATTAAAATCTGTCCGCTTTCTGACGTGAGTGAAGAGCCTAGCTCCTCATGATTTTCAGGAGGATTCCGCAGGACAGAATAAAGATCTCGTGATGATCTCTTGTGACAGGATAAGAATTGATTTCTGGTCTTTGAAATTCCACTTCAGCGCCAGTAGATTGCTCCGATGATACAATCCATGCACATATGTCTAACTTCACGGGTGTCGAATGTCAGCGCAGACTTCTTACAAGGAGATGAGTGCTAATTACGGATATTGATTAGCTTGTTGTTACTGCTGCTGGCATGCGGGCAGCAGATATTTGCCGGTCAGGCTCATTGTACTGCCAAATCGGAATGACTGCTAAATTTCGACTCACAGGGCGCTGAGAACCTTTCAGTCCAAGGATGCTGCTGTCGCAAAATTGTTTGCCAAACACATCAAACTCAAAGATGCTATTCATCATGTGCGTCAAACCAGGTCCGTTCCTAAACTCAAGCCCATCTCTCTTCTCCAGCTTAGAAACAGTAGAATAGGTATCGGTGTCGGCACACCCTCAAGGCTTAATGATTTATTGGATTCAGGTGGGCTCTATCGATATAGTCGACTAATCGATTTGCTGACGGCTATTTCAGGCGCACTTAAGGCCTCAGATCTCCAGTATATCATCATTGATGCCAGTCATATCAACCAGAAAAAGAAGGGTATGCTTGACATGCAAGAGTCCCTGGGTCCACTGGTGGATCTGCTCGGACGACGTGAAATAAAGGATGGTTTTGGTAGAGATACCAGCGAGCTCCGTGTTTTAGGCTTTTGAAGGCTTTTTTCAAGAATTCGCAATAAGATCATCCTGTTCGAGACATGGCTGTTGACGAATTTAGTGACCTAAATTATCGAAGGAGTATGTCAAAGGTGAAGATAGAGTCAAGAAGCTTGAGTGGTTCGAAAGTGCCTAATGAGGCTAGGACGCTCCTAAAATCGACTTACATCCAAATAGCAACATGAACCATCAGCATCAGATATTTAAGCAGTCATCGTGGCAGAAAACACTTGCAGAGTAGTGTTGTGCACTGCGCCTTCCTGAAGTGAGTTGCGGTGTTATCACAACACCCGTCGATAATTTTCAATTTCCTGATCCCTTTTAAATCTCGACGCTTGTTTTCTCATCAATCGTCCTCACGCTCACTAATCGAACAAACTTTTAAGGAGGAATTGTTTGCCCTCACAGCTCACAGCGAGTTTTTCTAGGCCTCCGTTGGATCTGCTCGCGCGCTTGACTATCATCGCATTCTACTTCATAAATCCTCGGCCGACCCCGACTTCATCTTATGCAGAGCGGAGCAGCAGACCACATTATTCTGTAATAATCGGAATATGAAGATCCTTCTCTTCGTCATTGGATGGCACACCTTGATGGCTGTAGCCGGCATCAATGTTAACTCACCAGGTCAATCCATGTTTAGACTTCCGTAGAGAAAAGCATGGCTAATCCGTCCATAGCATGTGGTTCGAAATGCTGGGAGAACTCTCAGTTCGTCAGTGCATGCAGCGCTGATCATGCGTGCTTGTGCGAAGACACATCGTTCCAAAGTGTGAGTTTCTCTGGATCTTAATTACACATCGCTTCCACACACTGAATAGTTACAGGTCGTTCTGCAGTGTCTCTATTCCCAATGCCAGACATCTCAATTCGGATTTGCACTCCATTACACTCTTGCAGCGTGTCCTGAGACGACACCAGATGGGCAGGATATTCTTCCTGCAATGCTTCGGCATCAAGGACTCCGCAAACGTAGCAAAATAGACTATCCCGCCGGAGAGCGCTCGCTATCAGCCTATCATTCAGCCTATCACTCACATGCTCGTCGCTCTGTCAGCGGCTCTGCGCACACCAGGCCCCACCCAACTCGCATAATGAAATACCAACAAGCAAACTTGTTGACGGAGGCTTTCGCCATGCCGACAGGCTTCAAAATTATATCGGCTCCTCTCAGTACGAATCACACCGCTCAATTACTGCAGACTATTATAAGTGCTTGAGAAAAACGCGTCTACAGTAATATCAGCATCACTACCTGGCAGAAAACGTGACCATGCGAGTATTCTCGATCGGCAAAATTGACATCGCTGTTGCCGAAAGGCAGATTAATTCACCAGTGAGGCAAATGCAGGGTACGCTCCTATGGAAGTCGCTAGGGTCATACGATAAATGGGAGGGTATGAACTACTAATCGATTGCTATTGGCATTCGTCTTGTTTCAAGCATCGTATCACATAGAGCACGTCATATGCTGAAAGTCACTGTATTCTAATTCACATTAAGCTGGCAGATTTACTGGCATAATCATGAGATGCCAACTCGTAGGTAAGTTGAAGGTTGAAGTGGTTTAATGGGGCTATTGACATGCAGAACCGTGTAGAAGAATTTGAGACTTAATTTTAATAATGATCATCCTCTCCCACAGGACTTCTCATGACTATGTTTTAGAAACAACTAGTTTACCCCAAGACAGGACTCCTTCAAGCCATTCAAGGATACTAATTAAGAAGTTTCTCCAATAGGGCGCCTTAGAACAATACTCTTAATAACTTCTATTAAGTCTCTATTTCTTTTTATTAAGACTCTAATAAGTATGAGTAAGAAATTAATATTATTTTATATTTAGATTTTAAAATAAAATACTTATAATAAAAATATACTTAATTACTTTTAAATCTTATTTACTTTACTTTTAAATTAGATTTTCTACTCTAGTTAAGTAAAATAGAAAATATTATAATAAAAAGAAGTTAATACTAGTTTAAATTATTATAATTAATTATATAAAGTAAAAGAATTAATATTTAAAATAGTTTATAAATTATTATATATAAAGAAAATAACTTTTTAAAAATAATAATTACTTTATATATATATATATAAATATAAAGTTTAATTATTATTATTAATAATTATATTAACTTAATAATATTTTATTATAAAAATAAAGTAAAAATTAAAAATACTTTTTTTAAATTACTTTTAAATAATAAAATAAAAATTTAATTATAATTATATATATTTTAATTAATCTTTACTAAATAATTTAATAAATATATTTATAAATTAATTTATTATATTAATATACTTTACTTTTAATAGACCTTTTTTATATATATTTATAAATATAATAATATTAAATAATAATACTTTATATTACTTAGTTTTTTAATAAAATTTAAATTTTTTAATAAAAGTAATACTTTTAAAATTATTATTTTTTAATTAAATAAAATATTCTTTATTATAATTACTTTTATTTAATTATTATAAGATTTATATATTAAATCTATCTCTTAATATAAAAATAAGTATTAAAATATAGTTATAAAAGAGATATTCTTTAATTATATAATAAATAATATAATAATAATAAGAAAAACTTTTTTTTATTTTATATAAAAGCTATTTTCTTATCTATATTAAAACTTTTTTCCTTATATTT